GAAGAAGAGCTCTCGTACCTTGGCGCACCAGCCATTGCGTACTTGACACTGGTAGCGCAGGTAACACTCACATGTTCCACGGCTTGGGGGTATAGCTGGACCGTCTTTGCCTACGTGTTGTGGTGGATTGGTCTTGTGTGGACAGTGTCACTGTGTGGTTTCCAAGTCATTGTGCTTGCGAAGCGGAATATCACTGTTGATCGTCAGCTCAGTCCTACGATTCTGCTTCCGCTCATCTCTGTCATGACGCTTGGTACGACGGGCGGTTTGATTGCGAATTACTCGGTTGGACTGAGTGCTAGCATGGCAGTTCCTGTCATCGTCACGGGATACATGTGCATTGGCTACGCCTTCTTCCTTGCGCTCCTCTACTATGCGTTCATTGCGCATAAACTCATCGCTGTGGGTCTGCCTCCACCGATGAAGATTCCCAGTCTTGTCATCACAGTGGGACCTGTTGGTCAATTCGCCACGGCAATCCAGACGTTGAGTTCGGCTGCGAGTACGAGAGGGATGTTTGGAAGTTACAACCAAGGGACATGGTTGCAATCCAGTGCAGCGAGCAGTGTGAGTGCAGCAGCGATATTAATCGCGTTGTTAGCACTGGGCTTCGGGTTCATGTGGATTACCATGTCATGGTATATCGTGGTTGAGGCTCTTGTCAAGAGGCAGCTGCCATTCAGCTTAGCGTGGTGGAGCCTTATCTTCCCAATGGGTGAGTCCTTCTCTCGACACTAATAGTACACTGAACTGACCAAGACATCTTAGGTGTTTATACCACCGGCCTCCTTAACCTTTCAATCTCCCTCAATTCGACCGCTTTCCGTGGCTTCACTACCGCCCTCCTCATATTCATGTTCATAATCTATTTTGTGAACTGGGGTGGCACTTTGTACCGAATCTATACCAAGCAGGCGTTAGGGGTGCCTCAGCAACGAGAGGAAGAGGATGAACAAGCAAAAGAGAAGAAAGAAACAATGGATCGATATGTCGTGAGGAATGGAGGGAACACAGTGTAGCTGAGAGCGGGCCAGAATCATGTTAACAATTTAATCTTAATACTTTTCACATATGCTAAGCACTAAAAACTGCCACATGATAATTAATGAATGTGGCCATGGAGTACTGCAGAGCAAACATTGGAAGAATGATAACGCTTGTAGTTCATACAGACAAGGTTTGACCGTTCGAACAGTATATTGTTCAGACCGCAGAAATGCGTAGCTACTATGACACTCACTCCAGCAACTCAACAGATTGTACCCTCATAGTAAATTGTTGATTTGTCCAACGCACTCATGTACTTGCTATCGCATGCGAAATACCCTCAAGGTGTTTCTTTGCGAGTTACACATACACTTTGATTTCAGCGATCCTCCCTAAACATCTACAACATACCATAAAGGCACCAAACCCCATTAACGCCAAGGCTAAACTTCAATATCTATTCCTAAACCGCTCTGGCCAGCAGCAATGCAACAAATCGCCCAGAAGAACCTTTTTACGAAATTCGCTCATTCGAACGCGCTCAAATCCAATGGCACACTGCTGCCTCGTCCAGCGCGGTATCTTTTTTGTCCGCCAGTGAATTCTCTCGGTCGTGGAAACTGTGATTCGTCTTGGAATCTCCACCTCAAATCGTGAATTGGCCTGACCCTACCCTTCTCCCTTCCACCTCCTCCGGAATGAGAGCTCGTTGGACTCTTTATGCTTGATCCGCCGTTTGTCAAGGTGTACGAGCTCGGATCCATCATCGATCGCAGGGGTGTTTGAGACGCAGGTCGGCTGATTGGGGCACTGGGTGGGGGAGAAGGCGCGGGTGCACTGGGTGGCGCTGCTTGAGGTGGAGGAGGCGGTGGCGCAGCAGGCGATGTGCGACTGTAAGCATTGCGCGCGGCGGTTTCAGCCAGAGAGGGCGTGTGTCCGTTCGATGGAGGCGGTGGTGGTGGCGGGGCGGGCGGGGCGGATGGCGCGCGACTATCGTATTTGTACGGGTCGTATTCGTCGTCATCGTCATGTGCGCTCGCTGGGGGAGGCACGGACGGCGGAGGAGGAGGAGGGGGGGTTGATCTCGAAGGCGGTAATGGCGGTGGTGGAGGAACAGCAGTTGGTCTAGGGGATGTAGAAGTCGGTGGCAATGGTGGTGGTGCCTATAAGCCGGTACACGAAGTCAGCATGTGTTTCATGCGCAGTTTGTACATGACCATTTCTTACCGGAGGAAGCGAAGGGGGAGCCGGAGATGCTCGAGCGGCAAGATTGGACGGTTTGCGAGATGAGGGAGGGGGGATGGGTGGTTTTTTCCCTAGAGGTAACGGAGGTTTGGGCTTGCCGCTTATACTTGAGGCTACCGAGTTGGGTCTTGAGTCTTGGCCCCGAAGAGCGTTGAGTTGCGGTCTGGTGTTCATAGCTGGTGGTGCGGGAGGTAATGATGAAGGTGGTTTGGGTGCTCCTGAGCCTCTATTCGACTCAGGATCTGAAGCATAGGACGGAGCTTCTGCGCCGGTCTTGACACCGCCTGAAAGATGCGAATACAAAGTCAGCGCATGTCTCACATGTAGTTGGTAAATGGGAGTTGTTACCTGACTTTCTTAGCTTCGGCATTCCTCCTGCGAACAGTCCTCCCAGCTGCGGGGGCGCAGCAGGCGCATCTCCAGTATCACTATTGCTTCTTGCTCGGTTCCCTGGCGCCGCAAGACCTGGGACTGCCGGTGCCTTGCCCATTGTCGGAATTGCAGGTGCGCCCATGGCGACTGGAGCGGGCCCGTCACTCACTTTGCCAACGATAGGCGCGGATCGATCGTTGACCACTGTGACTTTCTTCAATCGTGCGCCCTTTGCAATGTCGCCGAGGAGTGCGCCCTGTGATATGTTAGTCATGACTGCGCGCCGTGCCAATCTCTCGCGAGGATGCGACATACTCGTCCTGCACCTGAAGCAGGTACTTTGGCCCCAGGTGCCTTGCCAGGCGGCGGCGGCATACCTCTACCAGCTCCCCTTCCCATACCCGGGGCTAAATACACAAAGTCAATACGTGTCTTAGCAGTTCCAACAGGGACAACTTACGTGGAGGCGGCGGAGGCGGTGGTGGGGGCATTTTGATTGTTTATCTCGCGCGTCGATGGTAGGTTTTCAAGCTTTGCTAGTGACGTGTTGGAAGACTATATGCAGCTTTGCTGCCTGGTCGTGTGCGTGGGCATACAAAGGGTGGAGTGGAGTGTCCAAGTAAGATGATCGATCCTCTTGGGCGTCGTCACTGCTTGGCACTCAATCCTCGCCGTTCCGCCTTACGTCAGCAACAGCTACGCGTGTCGATACTTCCTTCTCGCCGCTTCCATTACTTCCATATCATCTTTGCTTCCGAAGTGCAACCTCAGCGATTATTTGCTATCTCCGGCTAATTGCGATACCTTGGAGTTTGTAAGGTCTGGCCATTCCTACTATTCAAAATCTAAAGGTTTAAGATTTCCTACTCTCTCTCTCTCTCTCTCTCTCTCTCTTTTTACGTATCCTCTCTTGCCTAGGCCTTTTCAAGATCTTACCTTTCCAATCTTATTTCCGTAGTTCACTTCTTGACTACTGTACTCCTTGCACTACTTAATCTCTCTAACGCTGTCCGCTTCATGGTGCCTATTCAATTCTGCACCCTCACACCTGCTATTCCATTGTTAGCCCCACGATGTGCACTCGCTATAATCCCAGAAACATTTCCGCATTATTTTGGCACCATTTTCGCCTTATTTGCTCTCATATGAGCACATGTGTGGAGTTGTCGAAACAGGGGTTCTATAATGCTAGCGCGATTGATGCCTAAGCTTGCAGACCCTGTTTGGGCAGTGATAGTACAATAGTGACCGTAATTGGGCAGATGTCATACGTTCTCTCCTAGATCATCGCAGTCGCACTGGGATAGCCTGTCAGTTGTCGGCTTGAAACGCGCTCAAGATTGCGTTGACAGCGTTGATTCGGATTGCGAGGCACGTGCAAAGGAGGGTAAGACCATTCTAGGGAATTGGTAAATGCTCTCTCTCATCGCTGAGAATATACCATTTTTTGCTGCCCATGCGCTTTAGCGAAATCGCATGCAGTAAATCTTCATCCTCAGCCCTTTCTGCTCTGTACCACGACCAACACCTTAACCCCCGAGTTCGTGATCAGTTCGGCCATTTGCTCACTATTGCAAACTGACTGCAGGAAAGATTGCACCCTTTCCCTTCCTTTACTCCTCGCAGAGTAGATGAGGTTTCCTCTTCGATACCTGTCAGCTCCTAGCGGAGACGTCAGCTCACCCCCGTTGCCATAGCTCTTAACTGAGTTGAGTGACAAACCCGCTGCCCTTCCTCCTCAGAAAGATCTATCCCTGGCGAGTCTTCAAAGTTGCTTAGTCGTGGCTACTATAGTTGGGTCTCTTCATCTAAATTCTTTTGTCTTCATCGCAGTTGCCTAACCAAAATGATCTTATAAAGAGAAATGGATCTTCGCCGCTCTGGGATCCAATATTGTCGGGCGATTGGGCCTTTGTGCAACCTTCAGGCATACGCAGTAAGACGCCCTTGTTTACAGCGCTGCTCCGTCATCTATCGGTTGACAGTAGCTGTGACAAGCTCTTGATAGCACGTAAGCGAATGACCTGACGCCCTATACAGAGAGAAGAATAGAGAGGAGCCAAGCCGGTAAGCTTTCTCGCGGTCCACAATGGCATGGAGTAACAAAACTTAGAAAAATCACGACTTCACAGACTTCCAAGTTATCTATTCATGGACGTAACATTCCGGTAACTCTGTTGTGGTAAGCTGAAAAGAAGAGCTTGCGTCATTGCGCCAGCCCCTCCAAATCATCACACACGAAGTGGGGCAGGTGTGGCTGCGTCATTTTGCACAGCCGCTTATCCGTAATCGCAGACAGCTGACTGAACAGCAGGGAAATAGTCACTCGCAGGCTCTTACTGCGCTTCTCTACGATACCATCTTACTCCTAGTTCCACTCTTGTAATATCGCAACCATGGGAATTTCTTCACAACACGTCCTGCTCATCGCTATTGCGATCCTCGTGCTACTACCCGCCGGCGCTGATGCCTTCGGCGCGGGCAACATCGCGAGTATCTCGAAGATTGAAGGCAAAAACTGGCGACATGGCGACATTGAAGACATGCTCGCGACGGTCGCGTGTTTGAAAGGACACAAGTGGAAGAGCAACATGATCAAGGTATATCCAAATGGCAATGTTACAATGATTACCACGACTGACCTTCTGTGTAGCGTGTGTACTTTGGCAACTGGCTACGCGATTACTCACAGGTGATTCCAACAGACTGCGCGACGCAAGACTGCGCTGACTGATTCAGGCTGTTGATGTGGGCACGTTGGCCAAAGTTCAAGTACGTGTTACGGCAGGATTTTTTCAATCGGTCAACAAGCTTACGATTAGTAGGGCGAAACCATTCGCGTCCTAGTCTGGGTCTTGTCTTTCATGTCTTTTGGCTATGCAACTGGAGAATTCGAGGTTACAGCCGAGAGACTAGGTGTTTATAGGCCCGAGGAGCATATCGGTAAGCGAACTTGAACCTCTTCACTTGCTCGTACTAATGGTAGTTCAGACAATCCTGTGGGTAACCTCAGTTTGCACATACGTGTGTGTTTTGATACTAACATTCTCAAAGAAAGACTATGCCGATAATGAAGACGCAAGAAAATACGACCCTCGTCTTCGAGGACCAGTATCAGAAGCTGAGCTCGCGGTGGATCCAAACACCGGTATGAAAAACTACATTGCCAATGAACATGGCAACTGGGCTACATCAAGCGGATATGTGAAATACTCATTTGCGCGCGCCATCCACTTCGGCCGCCTTTATACCCACGGATCATCAGGTCAACGCGGACGAGACGAGGATCTATCGGAAGCGCTTCGCTGTCTGGGTCAAGGACTGCACTGCCTCGAAGATTTTGGAGCGCATACTAACTATACCGAACTTGTGCTACGCGAGCTTGGTTATCACAACGTTTTCCCTCATGTGGGCGTACAAGCTGGCATTAACCTCCACGGAAAGCACACATATCCGCTCGTAACTGGCACATTTGGAGGTGTTGATTTCTTCCATTCCGTGCTTGGAGAAGCCAATGACCACATAACTCAGACTGAGATTGATGAAGTCAACACTGCTCTCGTAGATGCGGTGTCTGGTGGACCTGGTGGACAGAGAAGCGGACCCGGAGGCCAGTCGAATGCTTGTGGGGGGTTGATCGACGTTCTTAGCAAAGTGCCTGGTACTGGGGATCTCATCAGACAAGCACAGGATCTGCAGGCCTCTTCAGACGCACAGGCTGCAGAAAACGCACGCGGAGGTTACGGCGACTACAGCTCTTCCAGAGCTGGACCTAACACCTTCGATGCACCACCTGGATCCATGGGCGGTAAGAACTGTTCCTGCACGAACTGCATATCAGACATGAACTAACTTGGTATGCGCACATTTTAGGACCCCCAGGACCGGATATCCCAGGCACGAACACGGATCCAGCCACCATTATCCCTAAGATTTATCCTATCCTGGGTAAGAAAACTTTGAAACGTAAACTCAGAGACGCGAGCTAACCCGTCAAAGTATTCCGCGACAACGTTGTCCGCAGCATCTCAGCCATCATCTCCAAGATCCCTGGATTAGAGAAACTGATCGAGACCATCACCGAGCGCGTCACTCTATTCGTGCTCTCTCTGCTGGCACCTTTCATTCTACCAATCATCAAGACAGCGTCATCACAGCTGAAGAGCGGTTCCTCTGCTGTCATCGACTCAGCAGCCAAACATCAGTTTGAGGTCTGGAACGACCCCTCGTCTACCAACCCAACCCACAGCATGTTATCCAAAGATCACTTCTCGAACGTCTTGAACCCGCCAGCCGGTCAAGTCGCTGTAGCGATCTTGCAGTACGTCGCACCTCGCGTGATCTACGCTTGGGACCACCCAGATGTTCCTGTCGACGAAGTTCTGAACGACTGCATGCGCGTTTTCCACCACCCAGCACTTCGAGACCCGCACTGCGAAGTACACAACGAAATGTTTAAGGTCGTTGAGAAATGGGCCCGCAACTACCACGGCAAAGATTTAAATCAGGTTCTGTCTTCGGAATCCGTCAAGGCCGGGCACAATCACAGTGGCGGGAACGATCACTCCACAGGCCATAGCCATGGGGCGGTGAATATGTCGAGCTTTGGAGGTCACAGCCATGGCAGTGGAGGCACCCACGGCGGTGGCTATCCTGGCCAACAACAGTCCAGCGGATCTAATGACCTTCTTGGTTCCTTGACCAGCAAACTTCCTGGTCCCCTTGGTGGTATGCTCGGCAGCCTTGGCGGCAGCTCTGGAAAAACTCGCGACATGGACGATAACTTCTCTGCTTCCTCTTCATCAGCACCAGCACCATACCAGCCGTCACCGTCGCCGCAACCTAACCAGTGGGCTGGTTTCCAACCCTACCAGTCATCGTACTCGGGTGAAGCTTACCAACCGCCCGCCGAGTACAGCAACGCGGTACCTTCTGGCGGATACGGATGGGGTCAGGGTCAGTACTCGGGAGGCCAAGGTGTGGAGCCTAGCTATACTGTTCCGACAAATTACCAGCAGGGGTACGAAAATTATAACACTGGGCCAGGAGGCTTTGCTCAACCACCAGCTCAACAGCCACCTCCGGGATCTTATGGAGCATACGGACAGGGCGGTGCATACGACCAGGGTCCGTCAGAGGGCAGTGCAAGGCAGTGGGGCAGCGGCGGGAACTCAGGATGGTAGTCGCCAGTGCAGATATTCGAGTGTCGACTAGGGCCAGTGTGCTTAAAGTCCTCGGGGGTTCCATAGATTCATGAAGAATGCAAACACGACCTTTCGGTCTTGTCATTACGGCAAAGGTAATAGAGTAGAGATTCTTGTTTCAATGTTTCTTCCCCACATTCCTTCAGCAACCTCATATCTTTGAATTTCGACGTCTTGTAAATACATGCATCGAAGAGTCGCTTTCCAAAACAGATTTCCCCAAGCCAGATGATATGCCAAATGAACGCCGGCCGTTATGCTAGCGTTTCGCGTTTCGTGAATCTTTGGATGGTATTGATACAAGATAAAGGATGCAGTCGTTCCGTCACTTTTATTTGGCAGATTATGACTGTAACCCAATTTACTCGTTGATCTTAGCCAGGAGCCTAGACATCAAACGTTAGTCGCTATCCTACAACATGCAGTCGCATCCGCATCCGCATATATGGTGTAAACGTACTCGTGGTCCCGGAAAAGGCTCAACTCCTCTTCGCCGACCTTGATGGGGCTTCCGCCGAATTGCGGGATCAAGACCTTGTCGCCAGGTTGTACGCTGGGAGTGACGCGCTTTCCATCTTTGTCAAGCATGCCAGGGCCGACGGCGAGGACCTTGGCCTCGTTGAGCTCCTTGACGGCAGTCTCGGGGAGGAAGATGCCGGTTGCGGTCTTGGCTTCGGGCTTGATGCGCTGGACGAGGATGCGGTCGAGGAGAGGCGCGATGCTGCGGATGGACTTGATTGCGGACTATGAGGAAGATTGGTCAGCTTGGAGTTGCGCGTGCATGTGCATGTGCAAAGCGTGTGGTGGGGTGAAAGTGGTCGTCGTGCTCGGTGCTCGTATAGTCTGCATGAGAGACACATTGGAACACGGTTAGTACATACCATCTTGACGGATTACAGTAACCGTATATCACGAAGAAGCGAGGGAGACTAGAGTTGCGCTGGCTTGTAGAGTAGAAAGATGTCGATGAGAGATCAACACGAAGATGAAGATGTTGTGCTTTGCCCTTCCAGAAAATTCCATGTCCGTGCACTTACCTCGGAACAAGCTGCGGAATGCTTCGCATCTCGCGCATTACCAGAACCAGTAACTTTTTGCTTCGGCCCTCACACTCTTTTCATCGCCAGTGCATCGGCCTTGAGTGCTTCATATGTGGAGAAGCAATGCCCTCAGATGCGGGCATTGTTACCATACTGCGAGACGGAGCCATGTAGCTAGGATATTCCGACGAACAAATTCAACAAGAAGCTTGCCAATTGGCAACGATGAGTTCATGCTGGCTATGCGAGACGGTGTCTTGAAGGAGGAACAGAGCCATCATGCAGCCACAAAGCATCGTTCAGGCAAGTGCTACCTACGTCTCCTGCAAGCATAGTTGACTAACGGAACGCAGGTGGAATAGGTATTGCCATTAGTGGGGGTGTCGACTCAATGGCACTTGCCGCGCTGTATACACAGTCCCGAAGAAAGAACTCTGAGCTACCCAGTGCTCATGGATTCATCGTGGATCACCGAGTGAGACCCGAGAGCACTGAGGAAGCCGAATGGGTTGCATCGCAGTTGCGCTTGAAATGTGAGATACAGCACATGATCTTTGCCATGTAAACACTAATGCTGTCTAGTTGACATGGACTCCACCATTCTTCCCCTCACATGGCCCGACGGCTTCAACCTCAAGGACGTGAGGCGATTCGAAACCGAAGCGCGTACACTTCGCTACCAAGCACTAGGCCGAGCATGTAGAGACATGAAGATCGCACGTCTCATGGTGGCGCATCATGCAGACGACCAAGCGGAGACGGTCATGATGAGGCTGGCGAATAACAGACTGCGGTCGGGGCTCCAAGCAATGCAGCATGAAGAGTGGATACCAGAGTGCGAGGGCATGTATGGTGTGTACCACAGTGGTGAATATCAGAAGCCAAATCGCAACCTAGACATACCGTTCCCTGTTGAGCGTGGAGGCATACATATTTTCCGGCCACTGTTGACGTTTGAGAAGACAAGACTTATCGCAACGTGTGAAGAGATGGGTGTGGCTTGGGCAGAGGACAAAACAAACCAGATAAGAACGCTTACATCCCGCAACGCTATACGGCATATTTACAAGAACTACAAACTCCCAGGGGCTCTGAGCGTCAAGTCGCTGGTTGATGTTTCGCAACATATGCAAGAGCGCATTAAGCGACATAAAGCCCTCGCCAACCAACTCTTCGACAATTGCTTGATAAAGCTCGACATACAGACAGGCTGCCTTGTGGTCCGATTCCCTCCTTTTTCCGACCTACTGCCCCAGCAAGGCTATACCGAAGCCGACAAGATCGATAAGACCTACGCGAAGGACACAGCATATTGCCTGCTAGAACGTGTGGCAGAATTGGTCACGCCCAGCTCCAAGACGCCTCTAGGGCCGCTCGCTGCAACCGTTCATCGCATCTATCCCGAACTTGAGGACTTGGAGGAAGATGAGCAGATTGGACACTGGAATGGGGTGCGAAAGAAGAACTACTGCGTCTACAATCTGTGGTGGCGTTTTTGGGACCAAACTTCGCCATTTGACAAGCATGAGCACCAAGAAGCAGGCATCGATTCGTCTTTACCTCATCCACGAGAATGGCTGCTCACGCGACAACCCCTCGATGCACACGAGATAACAGATACTAAGAATCAGATCGTCTATCCCCCGCGGACGCCGCCGAGAGACAGAGAATACAGACTAGTCGATGGCCGTTACTGGATCCAACTGAATAACCGTCTTATGTACGACACACTGATCATGCGCATCTTCTCGAAAGACGACATGCACCACTTACCAACTGCTCAGCAAAACAAAACTCTGATGCTGGAGCCTGACGAAATTCGTCCCTACCGCTACATCATGGCCGCCTTCGATCTACTGAAACCAGCCGACCTACGTTTTACCCTGCCTGCCGTTTTCCGAAAAGACGTCCGAACAGGTAAGGAAACTCTAGTAGGGTTTCCAACGCTCGACGTGAGCCTCAACTGCATGGGAGCACCAGACTTCTGCTCGTGGAGCGTGCGCTACAAAAAGATCAACTTTGGGTCACGATCGGCGGCTGATATCATTGTTCCGGGTAGCACCAGAAAGGACATCGTTGCTCACGAGATGAGGGGGAGGGTGGTTCTTGAAGGTGTGGAAAAGGCACGGGAGGCAAAGGGACGGAGGCAAAAGAGGAAGCAGTACCATGAGAAAGTCCACAGCGACACCCACAAAAGACACAAGCGCATGGTACGTTTTGACGGAAGAGACAGCAGGAGAAGAGAGTGGAAAGCAGCTGCCGATGATGTGCAGAGAAGTATGCAAGCAGAAACAGATTCACTAAGCTTTCCAAAGGAGTAAAGTAAAAGGTAGGATATGTACCACAATGTAGCAATTGATACCCTATGCATTTGGATATGGTGTATCTTGGCTAGACTTTCCAAGTGCGGTGAGGTGAAAGAATTGTCCCGCAAGGCTAAAGCGATGACGTCGTGGGGATAGACACGTAAAGTGCATCCAGCCAAATGGGGAAGGCAGATATCGTGGGTGCCGTCTCCACCAACGCGCATCGCGCTCCTTCCCCGCCCTGCAGCGGCAGTCGAGCGCCATTGCTCTGAGCTTATGAGCTTATTTTGACTGCTATTACTTTGCAGACCGCCTGCAGTAATGGTATTGGCTTTGTCATTGATTTTACACGGTGCATGGTTGGCTTATCTCGACTGGTAGGCATGTTGCATCGATCGTGCAGACAGAAGACGGCCCCATGTTTCCTTGACTCAATAACGAAGTGCACCCCAGCAGGGCGGGGAAGATTACCAGACTAGGGCAATGGAGTCGTGTTGATGTAGTGCTGCAGATACTTACACAGTACCTGACACGTGGTGCGAAATGTGGAAGAAAACCACAACCTCAACAAGTGTTGTATGGCTTGCTCGTAGTAAAAGTAGTCCTATACGCTATTGACGTTGACTCGTGCGGTGGATCCCGGCCGGGAGTCTTCGAGTAGCCACAAGCTCCGCGCTCCAGAGAGAAGCGAGAGTAGTCAGGGACAGAGATCCACATTATTTTCGATCCTCAAAACCCTTTGCCATGTCTCGATTGATTGTTCAGATGGGCTATCCACGTGTCAAAGCCATAGAGATGGTGGCTTGTAAGATATTGATTAATGTGTGGAGTCTGCTCGTGGCAAACTTCTTAATGGCATTTAGCGTTTCAAAGTCATGAAACAGAGCGCGACATGACTTGGTGCACAAGGTCGCTCGCGCCAGGCACAACGCCGCACGGAAGTGGTCAGCCTCTTGTCGCCAAATTTGCGCCCGGGTATCTGTGGCGGTGAGTGAGACGCGGATTGGATACGGTCATAATTATTGCCAGGGAGATCGTCTGCGGAGTTTTATCGAGTGCTCTGTGCGTACCGTGGTGTTGGGCAACAACCGCTGATGACAGGATGCAGATCGCAGTGGAATTTCTTTTGCGCGTCTCAGGTTTGACAGCTGTCGACATGTGTGGAGAGTTGCTGTTTAGTTGCAAGATGGGCGACTGTCTTGATACGAGAGATATGTAACAGGCGGCTTTTGGGTGTGGGAGGCTAGTCTATGGTGCTGCCCGTAGTTGATGCCCCTTTCACGTGAGTGGGAATATTGAGCCGGCATAGCCCTAGCACACTGGCCAGGTGTTTTCGGCTGATCTGAGATGAAAGGCGACAATTCTGAAGAGTCAGTCCAACTTTAGCAATTTTCACTTCACCCGCTGTTGTGGAAAGCGGTGTCTGCAATCTCGATAACGACGATCAATGCTGTGATAATTTGTGCAAAGTGGTAGAGGGTACCTAGGTACTGTCTTGACGCCATCGAAATGCCAGCCTCGTGAATATTTCGAATCAGAGAAAAGCAAGTTAAGCGTGCGTGAACGCCAGGAAGACCAAGGATGGCGGCACGTAGTCTCTTCGGCTGCATTCGCCAGTGTGAAGGTTAGCAATTTGGGCGCCAGGGTCTTGACGCCTTTTTGTAAACGGGGATCACGCTTGGAGGGTGGTGGCGTGGCGCGATTCGTTACGTGCAGGCCGCTAGAAGTGTCTAGCCTTGGATGCTCAGACGTGCTTGGCGTGGCGCCAAAGGTCGAGTTGTGCAGAGTTCGCGATGGCGCGACCAAAGACGGCTGTGGTGTAGCACAGAGTTGGAGGAGTGGTGACAAAGGTGTTCACAGCAGCCGTTGAGCCGCCCTTTTTATTTTGTGTCGAGTGAGGCTCGAGAAAGGCTCGGGTGATGATGTGCATGTTGTGGATTGGCTGCAGAATAGGGATGCCGATCACGGTTATACTCATCATGGCAGATGGTGCCAAAGCTGGATGTACAGTGTAGTGATGCTGACGGTTGATGGATGACAAAGGCCTGGCTGGAGACTCGATGCCCTAACAGATAGCTACATGTTTACCACGACGGCGCCGGTTAATCCTGTCCCGTCGCCGCCTAACCGTGTCTCGTGAGCGATCAAAGATAGCAGAGTCTCCTGCTCTTTCCTAGGGTTGGCGATCTCTTGAGCAAGTGGTGAAGAGGGGCAGACAGATCATGCGACCACGTTCCAAGGGTCTGTTGACCACGAGCTTATCAGACGCGTGGGCGCCAACCATAACAATCCGCCATGTGCCGATGAGCGACACAATCCAGCTTCTGCTCACCGTGGCCTTGTTACTGAACGACGGGTTGATGCTGGATGCACAGTCGCTGTTTCAGAGCTGCTCAGTGCATAACGTTGGTGAATGGTGCTATTCGGGCGGGCTAGGTGCAGGCGGGTCCGTCTAAGTGGACGTGCAGCCGCGAAAGCCAATTTCGTTGCTAGCATCCCTGCCTGGCGAACCCCTACCTAGCAACAGCCCTCACCTTAAAGTTCTCCCATTCCTTGATCGTCTGAGATTTTCTATCCTTCTTTCCTCCTCACCGCCCTTCACATCCTTAACAAGGTCGTGCCTGCTTGTCTGCCGCTGCACTTTGCGAGCGTAGAACTTTCCCTTTCCGTACATCTTGTAATACCCCAAACATTGAGCTTGCCTCGACAACACTCCTCTTTTCGAACCCACTTACCTCCCCCCCCACACACACACACAAACACTTCCGCTCCCAAAACAAACAGCAATACACAACATGTCTGCCCCCGTCGACGCCCCTAAGCCGGTCGAGGTCCCCGAGGTTGGCACTGCTGGCACCGTTGAGCCTGCGCCAGCACCAGTTGTCGCTACCGAGCCTGTTGTCGCAGCGCCAGTAGCAGAGGAGGCGCCAAAGACGGAGGAGGTGCCCAAGACCGAGGGCGAGGCCACTGCCGCAGCGCCAGTTGAGGAGGCCAAGGAGGAGAAGGTGGTTGAGCCCATCTACAGCGGTGCGCTTGGCTACAAGGCGCCCGGCCTGAAGAAGTGAGTCTTGGAGCATGTCACCGCCGACGATGGTTTATTGACAAACCCGCAGCGCTTTCCGCTTCGCCAAGAAGTACTTCTGGTTCGGCGAGGAGCCAGTTGCCGCTGACAACCTGAGGGAGTACCTCCGTGGCGAGAAGCCCGAGGTTGCCCACCCCGTTGCCGCGTGGTCCAGCCAGACCGGAAAGGGTCTTCTTTTCTTCGTCAAGCACGCTGACCAGAAGGAGCACCCCGCCGGTGTTCTCAACTTGGTACGACACAACCTCTGCCAGACAGGAAGCCACAACTAACATGCATCAGGCCTATGCCACTGATCTCGCCAAGGACGGCGCTGTCGCTTTTGCCTTCAAGATCTCTGGCCACAAGCACACCTTCGAGGCCACCACCGCTGCCGAGCGCGATGGATGGTTCGTCGCCGTTGAGAAGGCCATCACCGAGGCCAAGGCCTCCAAGGACACGATCGAGTCGAGCGAGGGCTACAAGGAGAACAAGGAGAAGATTGGTAAGTTTACACTTTGTCCAGGTCGCGTCGCGTCGAGATGGCACTAGTGGACGATCTGGCCGTGTTGCTGCAGTAGGCTAACATGCCGCAGGCAAGCCCACCGCGCTAGCGGGAGCTACATCCTCCGCCCCCAAGAAGAGCATGGACGCTACCCCCAAGCTCGCCGAGGGTGAGACCGCCGCCGCTGGTGAGCCCGTCGCTGCTCGTGCTGGATCTTCCTCCAGCTCCTCTTCCGACGAGGAGAAGCGCAAGAAGGCTGCTAAGAGCAAGTCTCGCTCTGTCTCCCGTGGCAAGCGCGCCAGCCTCTTCGGCGGCCTGCTCGGAAAGAAGGACAAGGAGCCCAAGGAGGAGACCGACGCCGTCAAGACCGAGCCTGAGGTCAAGACTGAGGAGCCTGCCGCTGTTCCTGCCGTCGTTCCCCACCTTGACGAGATTCCTGCCACTACTCCCGTCAACGCCAACGATGTTACTCACCCCGCTGAGACCACAACCGAGCCCACTGCTGCCGTTGTCGCTGCCCCTACTGAGGAGGCTGTCAAGGTCGACGAGGCCGCTGCTCCCGTAACCCAGGAGAAGCCCAAGCCCCAGAAGCGCGGCTCCATCTTCGGATCTTTCGTCGAGAAGCTCAAGTCTCCTACCACCGAGAAGAAGGAGCATGAGGCTGGTCTCGCCGCCACTCCCGTCAAGGAGAACGAGACCATTCCTGAGGCCTCCAAGCCTCTCGAGGAGGCCCAGGTCGCCGCACCCGTCGTTCCTGAGACCACCACCACTGCCACTGAGCCAGTGACCAAGCCTGAGGAGGTCAAGGCTGTCTCCACTCCTTCCAAGGAGAAGGACCACTTCAAGTTCGGAAAGTTCTTTGGCTCCAAGGACCGTGCCAAGTCGCCAGCTCCCGAGCCCAAGGTCGACGCTGCTGCTCCTCAGATTGCGGACACCACCGCTGAGCCCGTTCAGGCTGTCGAGCCTGTTCCTGTCGCTGAGACCAAGGTCGAGGCTACCCCAGAGACTGAGGCTCCAAAGCAAGACAAGCGCAAGTCGTTCTTCGGCAACCTCGGACGCTCCCTGTCCAAGGCCACCGGTAACAAGGCGCCCAAGGACAAGAAGGAGGCTGCCAGCCCCGCTCCCGTCACCGAGGAGGAGACTGCTCCTGTCGTTGAGGAGAAGAAGGAGGAGGAGACCGCTGCCCCGGTCGTAGCTGATGTTCCCGCTGAGGCCAGCGTGGCCGACGCTTCGAAAAGCGCCAACCCGACTGTCGCTACAACTGCGTAAGGTGTGGTGGGAAGATGTCAGCCTTTGCAACGACAGCCACGACGGAATGACGGAAAAGCAAAGACAACGTAAATCCCTTCTTTGACCGCCCGGCCAACTCTGATACCCCCAAAAATCTGCTTTGGATCTCATACATGGATTCAGGCGTGTTCATTTGGATCAAGTTTCTTCACATATCCCCTCTCATTCGATTTCTCCTTGCATCTGGACCAACTCTTTGTCACTCTCTTTTGTGGATGGATCGCGATGGTTTAGACTGATACCACTTTAGCTGTTTCTCTCGTTTTGATACCACTGGCGGATCTCGGACGCACCTTGTTTTATCGCGCAATACCCCGGATACCCTCTGCGTACCGCCTTGTTAGAAGGAGTACACAAGCGGCCACTAGGGCACACATCGACGTAATAATCTCTAATAAACTGTCGTTGCTCTTAACCTGATTGTACATGTGCAGTGTGATGTCCTAAGATCTATGTGTCTACACTGTGCTGTGTGAATAAGCCTTGTTCAGAATGTGGGCTTATGTCCGTCTCGCGTATGAATAGAATGCGCTTTCTGAGAACAACCATAGTGGCAATTGTGTTCACAACTTAGCCAAATAAAGAAGCGGTGGTTGACTGCTTATTGCACGCGTGGATATCGATTCCAGTGATGACATGTTCTACATGGTACACCATATTATCTTATTTCTTCTTGCCATCCAGATCCGAGTAGAAATTCCAACTAAAGTTAGCACTCGGATCATTGAACCTCAACTTTTTGTCAATCTTGGCAATCTTCTCAACATCCTCATTGGGCAATTCAAAATCACCCTCCAAATTTGCCTTGATCCTCGACTCCGTCTTACTCTTTGGAATAACAGAGTGGCCCATGGCAATACCCCAAGCCAGCGCAACCTGCGCGCCTGTCTTACCATGCTTCTTTCCTATCTCAACGAGCACCGGGTCGTCCATGAGTTTGTTCATATTCTTCCCGGAGTCGTAGATTTCATTCTGGTTTCCAAAAGGTGAATACTGTGTTACATGGATGCCTTGCTGCTTGTGGTAGTCGGAGAAGGCGTTTTGCTGGAGGTAGGGATGACATTCTATCTGATGGACAGCAGGAACGACGCTAGTTTCCTTGATCAGCCGCTCGAGTTCACTTTTGCTGAAGTTGGAAACGCCGATAGCGCGGGCTTTCCCACTCTTGAAGCATTTCTCCATGGCTTTGTATGTGTCGACGTAGTCGCTGTCGCCGGGCTTGGTCTTGCCGTTGGCGTCTTTCGGGAACATCTCTGAACTGCGAGCGAAGGGAGAGGGCCAATGCATGAGGTAGAGATCGAGGTAGTCGGTTCCCAGGTCTTTGAGCGAAGCGTCGAGAGCAGCTTCTACGTCATCGGGGTGGTGCGAGTTGTTCCATAGCTTAGTCGTGATGAATAGCTCGGAACGAGGGATGCCAGACTTTTTAATGGCGGCGGCTACTGCCGGTTCGGTGCCATAAATGCGTGCTGTATCAATGTGGCGGTAGCCGGACTTGAGGGCTATGGTGACGGCTCTGATGCACGTGTTAGTGAACGTCACGGACGGCTTCCTGTCGACGGCAGGGAAGCTTACGGCTCCTGAGCCTCCTTGTCCTGCCATGTTCCAAATCCAACAGCTGGGATCTTTGCGCCCGTGTTGAGCGTAAAGGTTGTGCCATTGTGTGCCATTCTGACTTGTTGTGGGTGAAGTTGTCGCGTTATTTGCGATAGTCTGTTTGTGGATGTTGTGCGTAAGGAACGCGAAGCAGATGATGCAAGCATGTTGACGCTACTCGTATTGTTTAAACATACAATGCTGTTCTCTTACTGGGTTTTTATGGTACTCATATTAAGAGGAATTCGTCGTCATGACGGCCTATGTTACCTCGGGGAAAATGCCGATGATGTCACAGGGTTCACGGCACCCATCACGGTATCGGTAGATGATGTAGTGACTTTTGAGCTAGATGAGACGGCATCGAACATTTGATACGTTTGTTACATGTGTGTGCACCGAGTAAAGAAAAAAAAGGGATAAGTCTTCTGCTACTGAGCAGACGGCAGGGTAGTTACTGCACGGTGCGTTTACAATGGCAAAAAAAAAAAACCTGGAGTATCTGACTGCAGCCAGACGAATGCTGATGAGAGTGGGACTCGAACCCACGCCACTTTCGTGACCAGGAATATATGTTAAGGTAACCTTAACCTGGCGCCATAACCAACTCGGCCATCTCACCTAGGTGATTTTTGATGGTAGATCGGCTGTAACATCTATATATATACTGTTGAACAGATCAATAGGCCATGATCAAAAGTGCGGGGCAGTCAGGTTGTTGCATCGAACATCAGTTCACTATCTCCGGCCTGTGCTTAAACCCGGATCAGCAACACCATCACGTCCATTCAACAGAGTGCTGATTGAGCCAATCTAATGGAATGGACTGATCCTACTCTGAGCTATTCGTGCGCAACCTGTTCGTCGTGGGATGGTCCAACTTCTAAAAATCGCATGGTGCATGAACTACAAATGCTCTCCTTTCGTCGCTCGCCGATTGACCTCATGAGAGAATGCTTTGATAACAGTCATTAGTATCTCGCACATAATTGATGCTGGAAAGAATATTCTAAGCTTGCTATGGAGATTCATCCACAATGTTTTAGGCGGTAATGACAGCGCGCATCGCTATGGAGACATACTACGGGCCTACTCAGGTAGCCTACTGTACACAATATTGACGGTACATCCACCGCTAGATATCCACTAGTAGACATCACGACGCTCCTCTCGTCTATGAAGAGTCATCGTCGTCGTCACCAGGAGTAGGAGTGGGGCGTGGAGGGAGCGATAGGCCAACGCTGCGGGAGGGCCTAGTGGGAGGAGATGGCACAGGAACGGCCGAGCGAGAAGGACGAGGAGACGGAGTTGGGCGGACTGAGATTACGAAAGAGCGGGTTGCTGTTGGGCGACTGATACCGGTATTAGTACAACCAATTCCATAACGAACCGTCAAAATACTTACGGCGTGCGCGAGAAGCTGGGAACCGGGCCACGGCTGACTGAGGGACGAGGAGGAAATCCTCCGGTAGGGCGAGGTGGTGCGGCAGGTCCGGTTGGAAAAGGAGGAAGGGCTGTAGGAAGACTGAAGCTTGGGAGAGGGCCGCGCGAGAAGCTTGGTACCGGCTGGCGGGAGAAGCTGGGGAATGAAGGGACTTCTGGCTCGTCGTTATCGTCCTGAGGAGCGGCCGATACAAGGCTACGGATCGGTCAATCACGATCTTGAATAACAATGAAGCGCTGAGTTGTACCTAGTCATTCCCATCACATAAAGAACAGTCGAAAACCTCATGATGCCGTTTCTTTTCCAAAATTGATAGGTGTCTGAAACGTAGACTGAAACTGACGCTGAGCACAAGGTGCAAACACTGCTGGCTTTATACGTATTCGAATCTCCCATGTGTGATATGAAATCTTTTGTAAACAGGGTGTTACAACGACTCCCGGTTAAATCGCAGCTGCCAGCAATAGTATTGCTCGGCGTAAATACGATATCGCGAACGCTCAACACTCTTGCGAATTCCAAGCACGCATGTCGTCAACTAGCCCGAAAACCTATGCAGACCCAGTGAGAGAGTCAGTATGCCATCCGTTACTCCTGGCTCTAGCGAAGGTCGATATGAGGCCAATCTCCACAAAGGTCTAAAATACACCACAGGGTACGCTGATATCAGTAGGAAAACCCGGTTTGCTGTAATGGACCTGCGGCCAGACTCCTCTTCCAGGATCTGAATAGCCAGAAACCTGATGATCTCCCGAGAAAGTGGGTGTGTCACAAAGTCTGGACCAATTCTCTCGAAGATCACACACCTCAAATCTTAATACATTAGTCGTATACTCTTTACCATGTAGACCCTGGGATAGGTGCCTGGCCGTGAAGATTGGCTGTGCGCCATGATACTTTCCAGAAGATCTCACTCGGCCATGCGGATCTTCGAAGCTGAATCGAGTGTCTCTAGATTCCTTGGGAGAGGCCTGGTTGATCGTTCATCCTTATAGCGATCGAAGATTCGACCCGTGGTGCTGCGTCCTTATCTATTATACTGAGCAGGGCTCTCGCATGAAGTGGGATACTTTGAGCTCAGGCAATGCTTGATACAGTTCTGACCGAACAACTCGCATTGCGCACATGATGAATGCCAAGAGAACCATAGAATCCGCTTTCGACCCTACCGGTGTCAAATTTCTGCCTTATGCGATGCATGTATGCCCGGAGATGTAGACTTAAGCGTTTGTCAAGCAATTAGCCGAAGCCTGGTACGCATCAAGAAAGCGCCATCATAGGATGATTGAAGAATGGCCATGCGGGAAACTGCGGAGAATCCTGTGTCGGGCGCAAGGACGTTGCAATCAATATGTAACAAGACGTACTCCATGAAGCAAGGATGCAAGTTTTTGACAGCACCGGTCATGCTGTAGAACGACCGAACAGATCACAGATAAACTGTTTTCCAATCACATCAACATCGCGGTAATTCCTGCAAAGTGACTTGAACAAAGATGAGCCAATTTCAGTGGCCCAACCGGGTTCCTGGGTAAAGAGACGCGTATGCTGTAATTTGACGGATGAATGCCGTGCGCACAGGAACAATAAGCATATTCGGGCTGCGAGCAAGCGTGCCAGAGCGTGTTGTCTGGCGCAATAGGTAACCAGGCAAGAATGTGCCAAGCAGCTGATGAGCATGCAATAACAGAATGTGTGGAAACGGCAAGCCCATCGTGCAACGCGTAGTTGTTCTCGTCATAGGTCGTAACCAGCGTGTGAGGTAAGCGAAGAAGTGCGTTTCGGTTGAACTGTACACGTATCAAGCCCTCATGGAAGGTATACAATGTCACTGTTTGGAAAGATCTTTCAAGGTAGAACGCCATGCGTGGACCTCGGGGTGTAGTGAACTCGATATCTGCTTTCTTCATCAGTGCCCCAATCAGTTCTGAAATTGCGAGTCTGGTTGGGAGCATAAACTCGTTGACTGTGTCGATAGGAGCAGAAATCTAGGAAATGTGCAGTGCAGCAGGTTGCGAGCGGATATGAGATGGAAAGAGGCGGCGCGCATGTGGGACATGGTTCGAGCTAGTCTTGATCGGGCTAAGTGAGAAGCAGAACCCTGGTCAGAAAAAGTTCAGGAAGTCGCGAGCTTTTGCGATCCCGAGCTTGAGGATTGCGACACAACAACCACAATTTATAATGGCCGGAATCAAACGCAAATCCGCGGGCGCAGGCGCGCCTGAAGTCAAAGATAAGAGCAAAAAGGTCAAGGTCGACAAGCCCACCACGAAGCGCGAGGCGAAGCACGACGTCAAGCCGGTCAAGAAGGCAAAGAAGGCCAAGGAGGAGAGCTCTGACATCGAGGAGTCCGATACCAGCGAGCAGGACAATGGATTCTACGGCTTTTCCGCGGCTGATGGTGCCGATGTCGACATGAGCGACGCCGAAAGCAGCGAGGAATCAGCAAAGCCCAACGGCAAGGCGCAGAAGGAACCATCGAAGAAGCCCACAAGCGATGCGGCAGAGTCCAAGTTGGCGGGTCTCAACTGTAAATTACAGCAGTGTATCTATTCTATGGTTTCTTGCTAACTATCCTCCCAGCTACCAACTCGCGAGAAGCGCATGCGAAACAGAAGGCTCTCGCCAGAGAACGAAAAGCCGCGAAGCCGAACGCCGACATCATCGAGCGATCCAAGAAGCTTTGGGAGAAATTGAGGCTGAAGTCGCACGTTGACAAGGAGGAGAGGAAAGGGCTCGTCAAGGAGCTGTTCGAAATCATTACCGGCAGGGTCAAGGATTTCGTCTTCAAGCATGACTCAGTCCGTGTCATCCAGACGGCGATCAAGTACTCAACAATGGAGCAGAGACGCATGATTGCCAGGGAGTTGAAGGGAGAGTTCAAGGTCTTGGCCGAGGGCAAGTACTCCAAGTTCTTGATTGCCAAGCTGGTAGAGAAGGGGTAAGCACAACCATCCTAGACGACTGTGTCGCGCATCTAACCGACTTTAGTGACCCCGAAATCCGCGACCTGGTAATCACCGAGTTCTACAGCCACGTCAAGCGCATGATCAACCACCCCGAAGCCGCATGGATAGTAGATGACATTTACCGAGCTGTAGCCACACCAGAACAGAAGAACCGTCTTCTCCGGGAATGGTATGGGCCTGAGTTTTCAATCAAGGGTCTGTCTCCCGAGGGTACGGACAGCGCAGAGCTATCGGCCATTCTCAAAGATTCCCCAGACAAGAGGAAGCCCATCATGGGCTACCTGGAGAACCAGATCAACTCCCTCATCCAGAAGAAGCTTACCGGCTTCACCATGCTGCACGACGCTATGTTGCAGTACTTCCTAGTCTGCGAGCCTGGCACTGAGCAAGCGAGTGACTTTCTAGAACATCTCAAGCCGGACCCAACAACCAAGGAGGGTGAAGAGGCCGATAACGTGGATCTCTTGAAGAACCTTGCTTTCACAAAATCAGGATCGCGGCTGATGTCACTTTGCTTTGCATATGGAACTGCCAAGGACCGCAAGCTCTTCTTGCGACCGTACAAAGACACAGTCGAGACAATGGCCTTTGACCAACACGCTCATCACGTTCTGCTTGCTGCCATGGCAGTCACTGACGATACCAAGCTTTCGGCCAAATCCATCTTCAGTGAGCTTCTACCAAGCAACGACGCTCTTCCCGAAAAGGTGTTGAATCTCGTCAATGATGCTCGTGCACGCACAGTCTTATTATATCCATTCGTTGGGGATGCGAAATGGCTATTAGACGACAATACACGTGAGCGACTGAATGAGTTGTACGCCATCCGCCAGACTACATCGAAGAAGGACCCCAACATCCGTCTACAAGAGATTGCAAAGAACATCGAACCGCAGCTACTGACCGCAGTCACTGCTCGCGCTGCAGACTTTGCCTCATTCACATTCGGCTTGCAATTTATGGGTGAGGTCCTCGTTGGAGCTCCAGAGGTGGAGCCAGCAAAGCGCAAAGAGGCATTGGCAGAGGTTGCCCGCCTCTCCCAATCGATATTGGACTCTGCTCTTCCTGCCTCCGCTGGCGACAACAAGGCTACCAGCCATGGAAAGAACATGTTGAAGATGCTGGTGCAAGGTGGCAAATTCGATCCTGTCACCAAGAAGGTCATTCCTGTAGAACCTGCACTTGATTTCGCAGACTTGCTCTGGCATCAGATCAAGACCAACATTGTGGACTGGGCGACTGGCCAGGGATCTTTTGTGGTGGTTGCCTTGACAGAAGCCGAAGGCTTTGGAAAGAAGGACGAGGTACTAAAGGCGCTGAAGAAGGAGAAGAAGGCACTCGAGGCGGCTGTCAATCCTCCTGGTGCACAAAATGGGGAATCAAAGGGGAAGAAGCAGAAGAAGGGTGATAAATCGGACAGCGCTCCTAGAGGAAACGCGGGCGCAAAGATCTTGCTTGAAAAGTTGTAGAGTAGCGTACTTACTATCTGAACATGTATGATGATACCCATTCAACGCTTCCTTTGTGCATCCTTTGTTGCAGACGTGCCATGTACCCATTGAAAACGCCGGTTTTCCCTGCCTTGCAAAATCTAGGAAGAGAAGGTTGAGGCATATACTACGCTAGGCCGCATGCTTCACTCTCGTCAAGAGATATTACGAGAAATGAGGAGCAGAAGCTATCATGAAGAAATACATTACAGTGGGTTGTCCTCGCTGATGGATGCCTGCTGGTAGGTCACGGGGTGGAGGCGGTAAGGCCATGTGTAGAGCCAAGTATCCCACCAACCAAGTAGGCAGGTAAGCACCCACGCGAACATGCACCTTTCGCTCTTACCACAAATGTCAACTACCTTACTCGATGCATTCGCTCACCACGTATAATTGTCTTGGTCACTCATTAGCTGCTTCTATAAATAGTATCCAACAGTTGTGGGTGTGTACTTCCCAACGGTGCACAAGAACAAAAATTGTGCATCCAAATTACACATATAACTCACGGCATTTACGACGCGCATCTTATCTCAATCGCACACACAACACAATGTCACGAGAAGTTGTCACTGACGAGGCGTCACTTCCGTCCGTCTTCCAGGCCCAATGGCGATCCAGTCCAGATCCGACGGCACTTCCCTTCCCGCGCGACAACCCGCCTTTCCCACTCACAGCTATTGATTGGCATCAACTGTCCCTGAGAGATGCAGACTTCACACCGCATTCGTGGTCAGATCTACACCATCTTATATCCACAAACCAACTTGAAGAGCTGAAACGCTGGCCCAGCTCATTGAAAGCCTATCTTGCTTGGACGGCGCATGTCAAGGAAAAATATGGCAGTGTTATGACATATCTTCTTGATCAGCGACTGTTATGGGAACCAATCGAAGATGAAACAGGAGCGTTGCGATTTGACGTACGCAACACTACACCTTTTGCGGATTCTGATGACTACAAGATCCTGAGGAACGACTGGACTTATTCGTTTGAGCCCGGTATTCGTCACATTGTGGTTTGGCTGAAGCAGCGACTGCCGGTGGATGCCGCTGGCGCATTGAGTGATGTGGGCAGGGATATGGTCAAGGACTTTGTGAAGAGGGAGTTTAGGGAAAAAGCGGAAGAGCAGGAAGAGGGGAGCAAGGTCATCTGGTTCAAGAACACGACAAACTTGCAAAGTGTGAGGAGCCTAGAGCATGTGCATGTGCTGGTGCGTGACGTAGAGGAAGAGGTCTTGAGCCAGTGGGCAGTCTAGGAGGCCTGATGGATGTCACGGTCTGGTCACGATGGAGGATATCTGCTATCGTGTCTGGGTACATGGGTCTTGAGTATGCAGTGATGGTGATGATTGACCATGGTAAGGATATGTTTGGAGTTTTGGATATTGTCATCGCAGCCCTATGCAAATACACATGCTAGAAGGATTGCCTGCTCGCGAGTACGCTAGTCATGGATCTATGAAGTTGCAGCGCACATGAGTCACTTGCTAGCCACTTCCATCGACTTTGTTGATTGACGTCATCACGTCGAAACTGTGAGCCCAGAACATTACAAACAACCTTAAAGATTAGAATACCAAAATTCTTCAGGCCTCCATTCGCCCATCGCCAGCGCATCCGACTTCTCTAGATACACCGTCGAAGTCGTTCCGCGAGCCTCCGGACGAGTTAGGTAAAACGCCTGATCTCTGCACGGCTGGCGCCGATCATCACAACCGATGAAGATCTAGCATCGTCATTGACTTGTCGATAGCCTCGTCTGAAAACCCCATCAGCGCAAACATTGTGTCAAGCTAAGCTTTTCGAGCCGCAGTTTTCTTGGCGTTGCTACTACAAGGGGCATTTTCGGCATCCGTGTGCACCATTTGCGGCGCCAGGGACGGATAAGCTTCGTTAGGCTTTTGTGTGAGCACTGATGTCGACGATGATGTCAGATATGTGTATCGAACTTAAGCATTCGATGCCAGGGCTTGGTGGAGGCTGTTGTATCACTTGTGACTCTAAGCTTTTCGACATCTACACCTTTCCGTGAGTGAGGATCATGCTGGATCTCATTCGCGACTCGGCCTTTGGCCACATCGTTCGACTTGTGACGCGGAACAAGTACCTTCAATATCCTGAAGAGCAGGACCCCGAGATCTGGAAGAAATATGTCAGTCACGAGAAATCTGGATACGCCGCATACCATGGATCTACACAACCGCCTGAGAACGCGGACGAGATTGATGAACTAACCCAGGCACATGGAGTCAGAAGCCGCGATGATAGACACGACTCTGAGACATCGTCACGCACAATTGGAAATGGTGTCAATGAAGCCAGTGGTGTGAGATTGGATCCTGAAAAGGGTAAGGACCTCCACGTTGTCGATTGGTATGGACCAGACGACCCACAGGTATGTTCGCCGCAGCTCGGGATGCTCGATCATTGCTCACAAGTTATTAGAACCCGCGAAACTGGTCGCGTGCAAAGCGGTACTTTGTTACCTTTGAAATTTGCTTTCTTACTTTCTCCGTATACATCGGCTCAGCAATTTACACACCCGGTCTCATGGACGTAATGGCAGACTTCGGCGTCGCTCAAGTTCCCGCAACATTGGGATTGACGCTATATGTTGCTGGATACGGTCTTGGGCCTCTGCTCTGGTCGCCTATGAGCGAGATTCCTCAGATTGGTCGTCTTTGGGTGTATATCATCACACTTTGTAAGTTCGCCGTCACTTTGCATGACAAAGAGATATGCTGACATAGCGGCCACTAGTAATTTTCGTCCTTCTTCAGCTGCCGACTGTCTTTTCGATCAACTTTGGCATGCTTCTTGCCTTCCGGTTCTTGACTGGGTTCTTCGGTTCGCCAGCGCTCGCCACAGGTGGTGCTTCCATTGCCGACATGTATCGACCGAAGAAACAAGTATACGGCTTGGCTGTGTGGGGAATTGGAGCTGTTTGCGGACCAGTACTCGGTCCCCTTGTTGGCGGCTTCGCTGTTATGGCCAAGGGCTGGACATGGACTATCTGGGAGCTCATGTGGCTATCTGGCTTCTGCTGGGTATTCCTGTTTTTCTTCTTCCCTGAGACGAGTGCACCAAACATCCTGCACCGTAGGACACGAAGGTTAAAGAAGTTGACTGGTGACGACCGTCTTACCTGTGAGGCGGACATCATGTCCCAGGAGATGTCAGCGAAGGACGTACGTATTGAGATCACCCCACTGCGGTGCACTGCTAACATTGTCGTAGATTGTCAACATGAGTCTTCTCAAGCCCTTCACCCTCATGTTCACGGAACCCATCGTGTTTCTACTGAACCTTTACATTGCGCTCATCTACGGACTCCTTTACATCTGGTTCGAGTCATTCCCCTTGGTCTTTGAGGGACTGTACGGCTTCAACCTTGGCCTTGAAGGTGTGGCATTCCTCGGTATCCTCGTCGGCACCTTCATTGCGGTCATCGTACTCTTTGCGTGGAACTACTATTACCTGGAGAAGCAGTTTGATGAGAACGGCAACATTGAGCCAGAGAAGCGCCTTATTCCTGCCATGGTGGGCTGCTTCGCCGTACCCATCTGTCTCTTTTGGTTCGGATGGACGTCTAGGTCAGATGTGCACTGGATTGTGCCCATCATTGGATCGGGCTTCTTCGGTGTCGCAGCCTTTACGCTGTTCCAAGCAGTTTTACCCTACCTATCGGATGCGTACCCAGACTCAGTCGCTAGTGTACTGGCGGGCAACGACTTGATGAGGTCTGCATTCGGTGCCGGTTTCCCACTGTTCGCCAGTGCCATGTTCAAGAACTTGGGCATCAACTGGGCGAGTAGTACGTTGGCGTTCCTGGGTATCGCTTTTATCCCGATCCCATTTGCGCTTTACAAGTGGGGCAAGCAGATCAGACACAAGAGCAAGTTGGCGAGGAAGGATATATAAGGGGGTGGTGTATGCGATACGAGTGTGTATGTAATGCAAGGTCCTATAGGACGGTAATGTTTATTTGTTCAAAGAAGCATTGTGTTCCCCAGATGTGCTTGAAACATGGTCGACGTCATCACCGTCGGCGGCGCAAGTCACTTTTTCCGCGACTCATGCCGCATGGGTGGGCCGGCGAGAGGGTGTGTTCCTTCGGCATAAGCAAAGACGCAATGCTTTGGCGAGCAGAGGTTATTGAAACGGCAGACGTTGTTATGACTTCAGAATGGGAGTGATGTGGGTTGCCGAGCGTCCAACGGCCATGTACAGAGTGGCCTACCTGGGTAGTGTGTCGGAGGTTCCGAGGCCTAGACACATTCGAGACAGACTCTAGACAAATGGGCAATCTGACTTCGCGACGGCGATGACGCTGAATAGGAGGTGTAAAAGTGGCTGGACCCTGATATCCAAGAAAAATGATGTCGGGACGGTGCTGCTTTGGGATTCGCAGGGTGGCAGCACCTGGGGAGTCCTGGGGGCCATGGCAAAGCAGCGTGGTTAGGCCCAAGGCGGCTAGCGTAGCGTAGCGTGCCGTGGTGGCAACCTCATGAACGACAGGCTGCCGCTTGTTGTTGGCGTGAGCAAAGGCATAGAGTAATACAGTAGGGCGTGGAAGGCAGCGGAAGGCGCAAAAAGACTAGTGGCAGGATGAATGGGTTGGATAAGCGCGAGTGAATGGGCTGGATAAAGGTCGTCTGTGCTGCACCGCCACAGCAGCCCGCAAACAGGTTCCAGCGCTGATCCCTTCCACGGAGGGAAAAGAAGCCGGCCGTCGTCGATTAACGTTATACCATCATGGGCAGCCAGGCTCGAGTGCGCTTCCAAGCTCACGACAACCCACTGCTACCAGACGCCATGGCCGACGGGACGAAGCCAGTAGTAGTCAATGCCCCCGGGGCAGCACAGCGCCCCGGTCTCGAGAGCTCGGGAAGCGGCTCATCAGGCGACTCGGATCTGAACGATGCCCACCTTGGCTCCGGTGGCATCGAAGAATACTCATTTTCCGCCGGCGAGCAGCAGCAGCACGACCAAATCGCTCCTCTGCGCGAGCCCCAGTACTCGTGGAACAGCAACGCCTCGTCATCGCGCGCCCGCGGTCCCGCCATCATGACGGACCTGCCGCCTGCCACGCAGACGCAATCCAACGGCTCCAGCAGCGGGCCCAGCTCCAGCACCAGAGGACCACGCCCGTCGGCCGTCCGCACCCCGAGCAACGCATATGCGCCTGCCCGCCGCCCCCAGCAGTTCTCGCTCAACTCCAACACGGCGCACCGGCAGCGCAACAACTCGGCCACGCGCTCGCGCCGCAACCCCAACGCCGAGTACCGCGCGCAGGAAAAGGCCTACGTGCAGCGCATCCGCCAGGAGGACCAGCAGGACGACTTCTTCGACCCGGCCCTGCGCACCCCGAGCCTTGGCTACAGCACCGACTCGGAGACGGACGACGAATCCCCCTCGACGGCCGACTATGTCGACAACGACCCCTACGACCAGGAGACGCTGCTCTACTATGGCAACGACGACATGCAGCCCTCGATCGAGGAGCTCAAGATCCCCGCCAACCGCGAGCGCCTCGAGTGGCACTCGATGCTGGCCAGCGTGCTGACGGGCGACGTGGTCAAGCAGGAGAAGAAGCGCCTGATTGGCAGCACCGAGCAGCAGGGCGACAGCACCATGAAGGCCGAGATCTGGATGGGCATCCGCGCCAAGGTCTGCGGCCGCTCGCTGCAGGCACAGCGCCGCATCGTCGACGACACGCGCGGCAAGATCAGGGCCATGCTCGAGAGCATCATTTCCTTCGAGGTCGGCGGCGAGGCCGAGGCCGGCCAGACGGCAGCCCAGCAGGTCGAGGACATTGTCAAGAAGATCGAAAAGGTCGAGAGCGTCTACCCCACCCGCCAGGCCCTCGAGGCCGCCTACCCACGCGCTGCCTCGCAGCCCTACAAGGACGCCTGCGACGCCGTCATCGCCTGGCACAACACCATCGCCCTCATCAACACGGAGATGTCCATCCTCAAGAAGTGGGTCGGCAACGAGGAGCTCGACTTCACCAAACCCCGCCCGCGCTCGTCCCAGGACCACCATCTGACCGATGACTCTTCGTTTATTGACCGGATACTCAAGGAGGATGGTCTCAAGTCCCTGCAGGGCGACACCAATCTGCTGGCCCCCCTCGAGAAGGTCATCCAGAAGGCCAAGGCTACACTGATCGCCAATGCCGAAGGTTTCGCAGAGAGACATCTCCCCCCTTACATCGAGGAGCTGCTTACCCTCATCAACTTCCCCTCCCGCCTCCTCCAGGAGATCATCCGCGTCCGCCTCTCATACGCCAAGAAGATCAAGGATCCATCACAACAGGGCGTCATGATGGCTGAACAGATGATTGCGCAGTTCCAGATTCTGCTTGCCATGGCTGGTCAGGTCAAGGAGAGCTACATGATCATCTCCCGACCGGAGCCTGGCTGGGACCTGCCACCGTGCATCGAGGAGAACTTTGACCTGGTCGTCCTGGACGCTCTCAAGTTCTACTTCAAGATGCTGAACTGGAAGTTGGCAGCCAACAAGAACACCTTCAAGGAAGCCGAAATCTTGGAACAGGAATGGGACTTTTGCAACAAGCTCGGTCGACAGCTCCAAGGTGGTGACGTCGAGACCGCAGAGCAGTTCAGTGTTCTTACGTCCAAGTCGCTCACTCGTCTCAGCGCCCATTTCGAGCGAGAACTGCAACGTCGGCCAGACGAGCTTACAGGCTCCGAGATGGAGAAGCGATACAAGCAGATTCTGGACTCTGTCCGTGTTCGACAGCGTAAGCTGTTCCGTTTCTCCAGGATTCTCACACAGCGCTTCGAGAACTGCACCGAGTTCAACATCAACAACATCGACCTGGATGAAGAGCAATTGCAAGAGCTGTACGAATCCCTGGTTGCTACTGGCCACTTCCTCGTCGAGACTACTGGCGGAAACAACACTGGCATCTACATTGTTGCATCACCGACTGCATTGGACCGACCAAATGACATTCAGTCACTCCTCACAACCTGCTATCACGCCGAAGAAGCTCCGGAAGACCCCTCCAACCCGTATGTTCTGATCATCCGACCAGAGCAGCCCCTGTACTGGCCTGGCAAGAAGATGTCAGCAAACATCATTGAGCCTCATCTCGACCTCAAGCCCGGGCGATTACGGCTCGTCGCGGATGGCTCGCAGCAACGCCTAGCAAATGCAAATATGTCGTTCCTGTCATCAATAGGATTCGAATTGACCACTCTGATCGATCAGCGCGCCAACCTGCCTCGTGTCAATGCGGAATTGCAGAAGATCAAGAAGACAGCATACAAGCTATCCAATACCATCATGGACAGCGTTGAGATTGTCCGCAGGCAGACTGTTGGTCTTGACTGCCAGGATCTTATCCAGACTTGTTTCGCTTTCGCAACCGAATTCGGTCAACGTTCCGTTCTTTACATGGACTACAACCGAAGGGCCATGAACAACATCAAGCTAACTAGATTGGCACTTGATTGGGTCAGTTTCATCTGCGATGACTGCATTGCCTCGGATCGCAAGACATTTCGATGGGCTGTCGTCGCTTTGGAGTTTGCCATGATGATGACTCGCGGCCAAAACATACTTTCCATCAGTGATGAAGAGTATTCGCAACTACGACTCAAGGTTGCTGGCTGCATGTCCGTCCTCATCTCTCATTTCGACATCATGGGCGCGAGATCCACTATCGCAGCTCAAGCTGAGCGACAGCGTCTGAACGCTATTGCCGGCAAGAGCTTGCTCGACCCTAAGAATGCAAAGGACGATGACGAGTCCATTGAGATGACGCAACAGCAGTGGATGCAAAGCCTTGAAGAGATTGATTCCTTCCGCAAAGACAAGGAGGCCGAACGTCAAGCCCTTGGTAGGGTGCTGGAAGACTCTAACGAAGCTGATCGAGCTTTGACCTACCTGTCTTCCTCTGCGACGAACGTCACACTTCGATGGCAACAAGGCCAGTTCGTTGGTGGCGGTACATTCGGATCCGTTTATGCGGCCATGAACCTCGACTCTAATCACCTCATGGCTGTCAAGGAAATCCGTCTACAAGATCCACAGCTTATTCCCACCATCGTTGCACAGATCAGAGATGAGATGGGCGTACTACAAGTGCTCGACCACCCGAACATCGTGTCCTACTATGGTATCGAACCACATCGAGACAAGGTGTACATCTTCATGGAATACTGCTCTGGCGGTTCGCTTGCTGGACTTCTTGAACATGGAAGAATCGAAGATGAGACTGTCATTATGGTTTACGCGCTCCAAATGTTGGAGGGTCTTGCCTACCTACACGACGCTGGTGTCGTGCACCGCGACATCAAACCTGAGAGTGAGTCTATCGAGGCATGCTATTGTTGAGTTTTACTAACGCGGATAGACATCCTGCTCGATCACAACGGAGTTATCAAGTTCGTCGACTTCGGCGCTGCTAAACTTATTGCTCGCCAAGGTCGGACTCTCGCCGCGGAACACAACGCCACACGCCAGGGCCGTCAAGGCTCCATGACCGGAACACCAATGTACATGTCACCCGAAGTCATTCGAGGTGGAAGCACAGGGCGTCACGGCGCTGTCGACATATGGTCGCTCGGCTGCGTAATCCTCGAGATGGCTACTGGTCGCCGCCCTTGGGCTTCCATGGATAATGAGTGGGCCATCATGTACCACATTGCCCAGGGTGACCCACCACAACTGCCGTCCAAGGAGCAACTCAGTGACACTGGTATCGACTTCCTCAAGAAGTGTTTCGATCGCGACCCGAACAAGCGAGCGAGCGCTGTCGAGCTGCTTCAACATGAATGGATCATGACGCTCCGTGCCCAGCTCAGCCTGGAGCCAGCAACGCCAAGTGATAGCAACTCGAGCAGCGGAACACCACAGAGTAGTAGGCAAAACTCCAACTACAACTAATTCCTGACGCCTCCATCATCAAGCTGTGTCCAAAATATTGACACGGTTGGCTGATGGTGTATAGTGGCTCGTCGGCTTTCCATACATAGAGCTAGTCTCGATTCCACTATCAGTGGTGCGCCTCATTTAAGCACCTCTTCCACAAACTCTGATGTCAGTCCTTTTACTCTAGCACCGGGCTGCTCGACTACGGGAGCTACACCTTTCCGACAATTCAACTTCTCTGAGCCTTAGAGATGATCCGCCTTTCTTCCATCTCATATCATGGCCTATACTACAAGCTCTTAACGACCCAAAGACTGTACTGTTTTTCCTTCCTCCGTTCCACTTCCCGCCAGCGTCTCTTGGGAAGTTTGAATGGGACGTTGACATAGGGTATCTATCTCACCTTTTTCTTTCCTTTTGTCGGGCAGGGAGTTCTCTCTCGTATAGCCACTGTCGGTCGGTTGGGCATTCTGCTTTGGGTGTTTCTGCATTAGCGAGGGCGTTTGTCCATATTGGCTTCTTCATTGGTTTGATTATCGTCTTTGTAACCTATGCTTGCTTTGAGTGGCTTTAGCAAGCAACAGCACTTTTCCTTTAACCTAGTTGTCTAATCGTCGATACGATGAGGGCGATGGGGTAGATACCAAGCAACGATTGCCCTGCGAGGCTTATACACCCTTTGAATCTGTGTGCACATGTTTATGCGTTGAAAAATTGACGAGTCTCAGAGACTGGTGGTGAAGTGGTTCCAGTAGGTATAGATACATTAACATGACTCTGCAAGGAACACATGTGCTAATGTCAAGGTCAATCACTTTCAAACTGTACTTGCGAGTTTCTATATCGCATGAATTCATAAAACAGACGCTTGAAGGTTGCTCTAATACCAAACTACAACTGACACATATTCTCCGTCACTCAAATTCAGCCTTCATCTCGGCTTCCCTCGTCTTCTCCCTTTGTGCATCGTCCCACACATGATCAATTTCTGCATTCACCCAATCGTCCCACGTACCGAACTTGTCCAATCGTTCCTTCACACTTAGACCATCATCTCGTGTCCTAGTTTCCATATCAGCCCCCGCTTGTCTCAGCACCGCAAAAGTCTTAACCCAGCACCCCGATACAGCGTAATGCAATGGCGTCCACCCGTCTTCATCACCGTGGCTGATATCCGCACCATGAGTGATGAGCGCTTGTGCAATTTCAGGATTTGAACACAGACATAGTGGCGTTCGTCCTTTCTTATCTTCGTAGTGTGGTGATACACCCCTGGATAAGAGGAGTTTTGCTGCAGAGAAATTATGAAACTCGGCTGCGAGATGAAGTGGTGTACGGCCATTGGCATCGCGGACTGTGATATCGGTATATATATAGTTGAGCAGATCGAGAGCTGGGTGGCCGTATCTGGCGTCCATAGGCGACATGTGCAGAGGTCGTTTGAGCGCGATGTGTAGAGCACTGTCGCCTGTTATGGGGTTGACAATGTTAACATCCAGGCCAGGTCGATGTGAAAAAGGGGAGAGCAAGAGGGATACACTGGTGGGAGAAGGTGCCATGCAAGCGAGTGCAAGAGGTGTGTAACCTTTGTTGTCTTGTCTGTCGATGCCACCCATGGAGCGGTGTGGTAAAATCTTCTCGAGCACACGCAGCATACTCTTGCCTGCTGCGTAATGTAGCGCACATCTTCCATTGTCGTGCGTAATAGATGATGGGTACGCTCCTCGTTCGAGCAGATACAATGCTGCATCTTCATGGCCCGCCGATATCGCGACGATGAAAGGCGTATAACCGGCGGGATCGCAGCAGTTGATGTCCATCAGTGGTTCTTCATCATCAACATTCAGACCAAGGAGGAACTCGATCACTTCAATTTTCCCATGAGCTGCGGCGATTTGCAGAGCTCCATAGCCGCGGTTGTTCGTGTCCGATACATCTGCACAGCGCGTAGCCAAGAAGTTGACCAGCTCGACATTACTCTTGCATGCAATAAGAAAAGGTGTATGGCCATCGTTGTCCTTCGCGTTAATATCGGCCCCTACTCGTCGAAGTTGATCTATCAAGCCCTTCTGCTTGTAATAGACAGCAACGTGCATTAGGGTAGACCCATCCTCGGATCGATCTTCGTTTACGTTCGTGAAATCAAGCATTTGGCGGGCCATGTCTGCGGCCTCTAGGACGATTTCGTTGTCGCAACTGTCGAACTTGCGTACTACACGGGCGAAAGCGCTGGACTGAGCATTCTGTCCGTCCATTACTGTGCACCGACCACTCGCCAGTAGCATCTTCACGACAGACGTGCATTTCTTCTGACCATATTCCCAACCAATTATTGCTTGATGCAGTGGCGTAAGTTCGCAGCCTGTGGCATCTTTCGAGAGCTTAGCTGGATCGGCGCCTGCTTCGAGGAGTGTTTCAATGAGTTTCAAGTTGTGCTTGGATATTGCGATAGTGAGTGGCGTGTATCCAGCGGAGAAGACCATACTTGGATCCGCTCCTAATCTGAGTAGCTGTGCAGTGATTTCAGTATCCTCGTAAGCAAGTGCAGCGCGTAGCATATTGATCATAGCCTGTGATCTGACGAGCTTGCCACCTTGATCCAAGACCCATGGAATCCAGCCTTGCCACTCGGATCCGGTAAACCTGGAGTCAACATACCGATACATGATAGAGACGGTATTCATCAGTGATCTAACCGTTGTCTCGGATTGTGCAGTTGCTACCTGGAGTGCGACACTATCCTTTGGGTATCCGGGTCCGCCAACAGCTTCTAAGAGGACATTGGCAGTGGTCAGGTGGCCTTTCTCCATAGCGAGTTCGAGGATAGTGTCGCCATCGCTGGTTAAGACATTAGGATCTGCTCCGTGTGACAGCAGGGCCTGTAGTACTTCGGCATGACCCTCATTTGCCGCGAAAACCGCCGGAGTCCAGTCTTGCGGCGAAATACTCCGTGTGTCGATGTTTGCGCCCTTCTTGATCAGTAGTTCTACAATTGATAGGTGACCTGACATGCTGGCGACGGATAGACAGGCTGCTGGAGTCAGTTTCTGTGCATTATTTCTTGTCGAGTATTATGACTTACTCAACCCGTCTTCACTACGATCATCGACTCTGGATCCCTGGCTCAGCAAATAATCAACGACTTCAAACTGCCCTTGACTCGCTGCCCACATTAAAGCAGAACCACCGTTCGCATATCTTTCATGCAGCCCTGCTCCCTTTGCAAGCAGCAGCTTGACGACTTCGAGATGTCCTCTCTCTGCTGCAAGGATGAGAGGCGTCTTCCCGCTCGAGCAGGGTCTGCTGATGTCGACGCCTTTACTGATTAAAAAATCAGCCGCGTGTTTCATTCCTTTCCCAGCAGCCCAATGTAAAGCATTTATATCGTCATTACCGGTCGCATGAGTCGGTCCAGAATTAGCTTCCAGGTCAGCGCCATAATCTAAGAGAAGTTGGATGATCTGAGGTGCGTGTTCTTTCTGCTTGACCGCATGGAATATCAGAGGTAAACCGATGATTTGAAAGTTCGCATCGGCGCCCCTTTCTAGCAAAAGTGCTATGTTGTCGATGTGACGCTTTCGGATCGAGTCAGCGAGTGCCCGTTCTTTCTCATATGCGATGAGATCGACGTTCACACTATCATCTAATTCCCCTTTCACGCTACCGAGGTCTCTGGGCTTCCTCGCATGATGGGAATTACCATAGTTCAATCGCAGATCTCGATCTTCCCTTGCCAACTTCATCCCTTCTTCTTGCCTTATTCCTTCTACGACCGTTGAAACCAGAGTCGGGATTTCGTGTGACGATTCGGGTATGAAGTCATCAAGGTCGCTGCCCACAGTGAGGCCGTCATCGTCAGAGTAGTCGTCGTCCGCCGGAAACACGCTTGCAGCTTGGCGTGAATCCGGTGTAGTCTTCGCGCTCATGTCAGGGGGATAGCGAGTGTATGCTGGGGCATTAACGTTGTGCGACAAGAGAAATGCAGTGTTTCAGAGGGATCGTCAAAGCCCTCTTGTCCACTGTGGTTCAAAATGCGAAAGGCTCACGCTGCGAGTATGTGCTGGCAAGCACCATGTCTATGCTGGCTAAATCAGCTGCTAGGCAGCACTGCTGTCGGCAGGCTGCAGTCAAAGGCACGACCATCATCAGATTGGTCGAGCGTTTTCGCAGGTGTAAGCTCAGTCTGCTGCAATTGGCGGGGCAGTGTGGCGCATACATTCGCGTCATGCAGCGAGGTCTCAGGTCGGTCGATTCGTGGATGTTAAACCACAAACCAAACCTATAGCACCCAATGAGGGTAGTGGACACTGACCTTTCGGTGAATGGCATGAGAAGACATGATAGTAGAGAGAGAAAACAGATTCGGGCCACAAGGACCAACAAAAACCGTGCAAGGGCGTTAGGAAGACCGTACTGCCACAAGGACAAGTAAGAGCTGCCTAGGCCGTTGTAAGAGAAGATGGTTTGAAAGCTCAGGTTGTATTGTAGTGTGGGACGTGCGCGCGTCGCGTCACAGCTCCAAGCGGAAAGAGCAAACGCAAGGAAGGAGCCGTTCTCACAAACCATCAGCGAGGGGTTGACGTCAATACTCCCAAAAGGCCAGAATGATGCTACCTGTTTCAGAGACAACTCTGACATGAGAAATCTGTTGTGGGCGAGTAATCAATTAGCGGAACGATGAGCGTGTTCGTATACACCTAGAAGTACGCCACTACATTGGGCGCATGTAATCTTTGGCTAGTCGACAGGCATCACTTCACCACCTGCGATCTGCAAGTCATCTCTATATGTACACGTAGCAGAGTAGACTCTACCGAAGCTCCCTTGGACGATGTAGCGCGGGGCAGCGCAGGCTGTCGAGAATAACAATCAGTGTTCGTGGTAGTGGATATGGGGAGACACAAGACGCTCTATAGCGTCTTTCGTATACGCTAGAAGAAGGTCCAGGGGAATTGGCGGTATCCTCATGTTCCACGAAGACATCTGGCAAGATACATAGTGCAGGTTGTTTTCCTCCGTCCCATCTTTAGTCGGTGGAGAAATTATGCCGAGCCGCACTAAACCCGTTCCACACTTGTCGACTGCTGCACGAGAGGCATCATCGAACATTGAATCGCGACATCGGCTGCCAAACCACAGCCAACTCAACAAGCGCAATGAAGCCCGGCAGCATGCCAGCGCGCGCTCAGTCGCGGTCGGTTTGCCAACTGTGCAACTATATACTACAACAGCCTGGAAGTCGCCGGACTTTCCTCTCCACATCATTCCGAGCGCCTTCGATACGACGACAAACCGCGTCAACCCCGAATGCATATCGCAATCCGTCTGCAGTCCGTCCACGAAACATCACCACGACAAGCCGGAAGGCAGCAGTGGTCGACACTAGCGACGATGGCGGGCGACAATATTCGGAGAGAATAGTGTCGTTGAAGAGCAAACTCGCTCAAGTAGAGGCTCGGATACAAGAGATATACAATTCATCCAAAGTCGAGCAGGAGGCGGTCATAATGGAAGCATTTGAGGGATTGAACTACGTTGCACAAGAAGCAATAGCGATACGTTTAAGACAGCCTCCAGCGACGCAGGCGCATATAAGGCAAAGTAGCGCTGGGGCCATACTCTCTGGACTGGGTGCTGAGGAGGAGGCAAAGACGGAAGTGAAAAAAAGTTCAAAGCTTCTTGGACTGGATGCGCTACCCTCGCCATCGTATCTCTCGAAGCTCGCGGAGAGCCTTCTCAAACACGAGAAGGTCTTCCTATCACCAAACATCCTCGCGATATACATCCACATACAGCGGCTCCTTGCCCGACCCAAGTCCATTCCAGAAGCGCTCTACCTCTACGCGAACAAACCAGTCCCCGTCGAAGGTTCTTCGCCTCCCAAGTTCTCACGACCCTCTCCCAAGTCAGCAAAGCAGGCCATTCCAGCCGATCTCGCCGACGCAGCGCTCACCGCAGCAATCGACGCGAAAGATCTTTCTTTAGCCCTAGATGTTGTTGACCACAGCTATCGTGCTCCTGCGTGGCGGCGGCACCGCATAGTCACAAAGCTGGGGCTGCCCGGTATCTTGACGGCTATCACCCCACTTGCTCTTTACATGATCGCCCAGGAACTATCCGTATACAGCGGCTTTATCGACCCTTGGACTTTCAAGCTGTACGCGTTCATGGGCATGAGCACGTATGTTATGTGCACGGGAACGCTCGGATTCGTGGCCCTGACGACATACAACGATCACCACGACCGAGTTGTCTGGCGACCTGGTGTTCCACTGCTTGATCGATATCTGAGAGAGGATGAGCGAGCGGCCTTGGACCGCATAGCTTGTGCGTGGGGTTTCAAGGAAGTGTGGAGGCGAGGTGATGAAGAGGGCGAGGACTGGGAGGGTTTGAGACAGTGGATCTTGCTCCGGGGTATGGTTCTTGACAAGCCAGACCTAATGCCTGGTATGAACCCTGGAAGATAGTTTAGCAGTAGTAGCAGTAGCATGAAAGCACTGGACACTCAGACAAATTATATGTTGAGCATTCTCTACCATGCAGACAAGCCGCTCATAGACTCCGCATCATATGTCATATCATACCAAAAAAGAGCAAATGGATAGGAGATATCGCAAAACCAAGAGGCCCTGTATAGTTCCGCATACATGACACGGGTAGCCGAGGACGGCAAAAAGGTTGTCATAGGTTCTGCTATGTGTGAACTCAAGTTGTCCACACTGGCAAAAAAGTTGGTTCGTGCGACACCTGTGTGATTCGAACACACGCTCCCGAAGGAACTGGCTAACTTTCCGGTGAAGGACTAGCAGGCCAGCGCGTTAACCACTCCGCCAAAGTGCCAGAGGTTGCTGCTTTAACTAACTTTCGGATTGTAATAATATATAGTTTAGGAAATTTCGAAACGTAGACAAATGGCAGCGACGAAGACGGGACTCTTTGACTCGCCGTACGGCATCGTGTCAGTGGAAGCATTCTAGGCACCAGCCTGTCGTTATATGCGTGACGATGGCGGGGTAAGCTGTCAAGCTACCCCACCAACCTCAAGCTCTCCAACGCGTCTTGCTTACTGATTTCCGCCACAACTCCACCCAACACTGAGCCTTGCGTACTCTCAACTTCACGACTCAATGCGCATCTCTGGCTCGATTGCCGAACACAAAGGTATCCTCACTCGACGCGACACACGTAGAACACGGTCCAAGCATGTCCGCCGACGCCGCTCCGATCACCTTCACGCGCTTCTCCAAGGCGCTTGAAGACCTCTCCGTCGAATCGCTCTACGCCAAATACTCCGAGCTTACCAACCAACTCAACCATCTTGAGTCCAGCAACAAGCAGCTCGAGGAGTTTGCGCGGGAAAATGATGACCGCGACTGCTACGAGGCACTTCTGGAGAACAAGCAGGTTATAAAGAGGTTCGAGGAGAGGAGGGAGGCAATCAAGAACGAGGTCAAGGACGTGAGGGGTCTACCGTGGAGACCGAGGGAAGAGGAGAAGGTTGATGGTGCTGCGGTGAACGGCCATGCGACTACGGCGACAAATGGTACGGCAGCGGGAGAGCAAAGGAATGGTGATACTTCGGCGCCAGAGGCAGACGACGGTGTGTATCTTTGATAAGGTCAGGATTTCAATACGATTTACAAGATGCGGCATGGCTACCGGAGAGTGTCAAGGTGATGCACAAGCAAGTGCTTCGGTAGCCGCCGAAATCTCGATGGGGCATAAATCAAATGATCAACAAAAGTACGTATTTCCATGCTTACCTGTTTTTCCTCACTCACAAATCTGTAGTATAAACACGATCAACTTCAACGATTTCGGGATTGTGTGGAAGCATAGCGCTTGATTGGCACTTCGATTAAGATATAGCTCCACATGGACGACGTCTATTGCAGTGCAGTGTCCCCCAAAGCACCTGCGGATCGAAAACACCAGGCTTTGAGGTACGTAGAGATTTCAAAGCGTCCTAGAGAAGCTTCGAGTGCTGGACATGTGCATTCTGTCGTTTTCAGCGGAGATGCATAGTTTAGGCCATAATGGTACATTTCGAGTGTTTCGTTCTAAAGACATGGTAGAGTTACTATAGGCAAGAGAAGCTGGCGAAGAGAGAGGGGTGTCATATGGCTAAATTGATTATCTTGTGATGCCTGCAATACAGTCATCCGTTATACATGCGTAGGATGCTACAGTCATGTCGATCAAGGTTTGTGATCTATATCATTCATCCAAGAATTTAGCAGAGCCACAACTCGCAGCGTAAGAGTGCGATATCAAGATGAGTTATACTACTAATTGTGTGAAAGAATATGTAGTACCAAATGGGCAGTGGCTGAGTAAGCCCTCGGCTCGACCACAACACAACGTCACTACCCTCAACGCAAGTGCTTTTCACCTGAACCACAATATTCTTATTTAGCGGTGTAGCAACACTTGAACCTCGAGGCTTGTACCCTACGATCAGAATAGTGGAGGTTTTGGTCATTGACAGCTCAGCCCAGCCTTACAGCAGCCAGATCTCCCTCAGACATTGGTCTTGTGGACCAACATGCTGGCGCTTTTGAACATTATCTGACACGCCACTCTCTCTGAACCCTGCATGTAGGATTCATCGCTGACCTCGAGAAACTCAATAGCCGGCGCTTGCACAAGTTGATTGTTAGAAGAAGTTGTACGGCGCACGAGAAAGCTTAAACGGCTGTAACACTCGTCTCTGCCTGAACAGAGGCCAGATTAAATGGACAACACATACACCGCAAACAACGTTTTTTACTACCCCATGGGGCTCGTATGTGCCTGATCCGTGCCACTATCCGTCTTGGGAACGTTTTCGGCAGTCTTGGGAGATGTTTAGTGTCTTGGGCGCCTAGTATGCTATCGAGCTTTACGAGGCTTGGTATGGGGTACAGTGGGTTCGGAAGGAATCCTGGCTCATATGATCGACTCAGTTCCTTTTTCGTACAAGCGAGCGCTACCTGTTCATGTGGAGATATCTTCACATGTAAGCAATCCCTCTAAACCATCGGAAGGCTTACTCTGCGTGCCTGTACTGCGTTGGAGATTCAATCTGTCCAATCTATACCAGATTCGATTCCTCACTTGGGTATTGCGCCACGCTTGCAGCCTTCACTACTAGACCATTTAGAGTAGGTCACCTGGAGCAGCTGGTCAACTTTGGCTGCTCGGCATCAGTCTTAGTTGACTTGGCTGAGAACAGTGCTCGGTGGCGCCCCTACCGCCACTCTTCATATCAACGGGTAGAGAATTTCCACGAGTCGACTGAGAAACCGACCCTACCGCCTTGTCTCCATACGAATCTTGGATGAATTGCGGTAGGAATTTGTGGTAGGTCTACTCGGCGACCATGTCCTGTCCATCTAGAACATACAGTCGGACATTGGGCTTCATGGTCTATGCGCGATCAAGACCAACTGCTTCCGATCGCTCACTGACTCGAAGGCGGTGCAGAACCGGTTGATGTCTTCCGCTGTGCGACGCAGACAAGAAACGAAACAGAGATCCACTACCGTTGACGTAGTAGCAATCTCGCAACGATGAGTATCAATGCGCCGCAGCATAAGCAATGCCAACTTCAACCTCGCTAAGATCCCGTCTGGCTACCCGCGATCGTTCCAAACACTGGCATTCCCACCGCTAACACATTTGCGCCACTGTCGCTCCTGTTGACCCTGCTTCTAGAATCCGGCCACCGGGTGTTTCAAAGCGTTTTGACATACGAACATGGCGGGCACTAAACCTTAAAGGGCCGAAATGGTGGGTTCTGGTAAACACCCGGTGGGAGTTTCTGTATCACAAAGCTCACTACCACTCGCATTTCAGGGAATACCGCCGAGATTTTGTTTCCAGCAATCAACGCGTCAGTCCACCCTGCCGTCACAACGAGTTGTTGAAACAAAAAGTCTACCAGATGCAATCGCTCTGCCTACAGCAAAGGATGAATTGACGTTGAAATAAAGCTACCAAGCCTCAGCGATCAAACCATTAGTTGCCGCAGAAGCCTGCATAGAATTTAAGCATATACTCCACCACGACTTGGCGCGTCTTCCCCAACCGGGCTTCATGTGCGGCAAAGTAACCCTTTGCCGGGCACTCCCCGCATTACGGAGAATTGCTGTCCGTGCAGGTACGCAAAATCCCTTGAAACATCATGTCATTAATATACCCACAACAACGGAACAATATACCAGGCCCCAAACGGCCGCATGGCATGGACGATCAATTTCCAGTGCTAGGATGAGCTATGGTACCGAGGCCAATGTGAACGGTCGAGACAATGAGGTGGTTTATGGAGTGGAGACGGTGTGACAGTGCCTTGCAAGTATGGTTGGTAGTTCTGATGCTAGTATGAACATATAAGTATCCTGTCGATATCCCTCTTTAAGGCCTCACTCCACACAGCCAAGCTTCTCTTCCAAACAACACAAGCTTCCTATCCCTCACATCAGCAACCATGCGTTTCACTCCTACCGACCTCAGCCTTCCCGCTGCTGCGATCGCCTTCTTGGCATCGACTGCTTCAGCCCAGACTTGCCAGCTTCCCACCAGCTACAAGTGGACTTCTTCCAACGCGCTTGCTCAGCCCAAGGCAGGATGGGCTAACCTCAAGGACTTCACCACCCAGATGGTTAACGGCAAGCACCTCGTCTACGCCACCAACCACGACACTGGCAGCAACTACGGCTCCATGAACTTCGGTCTCGTCTCCAACTTCAACGAGTTGGCATCTGCTCCCCAGAACGCCATGAGCCAGGGTCTCGTCGCCCCTACCCTCTTCTTCTTCAAGCCCAAGAACACCTGGGTTATCGCCTACCAGTGGGGAGCCACCGCTTTCTCCTACAAGACTTCTTCCGATCCTACCAACGCCAACGGTTGGAGCGCGGCTAAGCCACTCTTCTCCGGCAAGATCACTGGCTCAAGCACTGGCCCAATTGACCAGACCGTTATCGGTGACGACAAGAACATGTACCTGTTCTTCGCGGGTGACAACGGCAAGATCTATCGTGCCAGCATGCCCATTGGCAACTTCCCAGGCGACTTCGGCACCGCCTCCACCGTCGTCATGAGCGACAGCACCAACAACCTCTTCGAGGCTGTCCAGGTCTACACCGTCAAGGGAGGAACCACCGCCAAGTACCTCATGATCGTTGAGGCTGTTGGTTCTCAGGGACGTTACTTCCGCTCTTTCACTGCCTCCAGCCTCGGCGGCAGCTGGACCCCCAACGCTGCTACCGAGAGCAACCCCTTCGCCGGCAAGGCCAACAGCGGTGCTACCTGGACCAACGACATCTCTCACGGTGACTTGGTCAAGGTTACCAACGACCAGACCATGACTGTCGACCCTTGCAACCTGCAGTTGTTGTACCAGGGCCGCAACCCCAACTCTGGTGGTGACTACGACCGTCTCCCCTACAGGCCCGGTCTCCTCACCCTCAAGAAGTAGATTGGGACTGCTTGACTTGCTAAAAGTCTTTCGTTGTACATACATTTGAGCTGGACGATGTATATAGATGGCCAGTTTGATTTCTCTTCTTTTCCTTTGACCCAGAGGGTCTCTTTTAGCAACAAATGGATTTACAGGGCATCTTTAGATCCCTATTTCTATCTATGATTGCTACTTCGTGAAACATGCTTGAATCGCTCTTCTCGCTATGCAAAGTCCCGTGCAGAACTCCTGCTTACGTTTCTGGTCCTGAAATATCTCTTCTTTGCAGATATCCAAGCCTGTTCTCTCCCTGATGACGATTTCCTGCATCACGCACCGACTCTCCTCACACAATAACGCCATGTCTCCCTGACCTCTGGCAATTGCTTCATGCACCTCCATGAATGCCCAAGTCATACCCACGAGTAGATCCTGATGGGTCAGCCATCGCATACCCATCCAAATCATCCACTGCGAGAACGAAACTGATTCATCATTACCCATAGCGACTGCTTCCTCCAAGCTCGAGGGTATCCTTATGCTTGCGCTATGGCACATTTCCAGGCCAACCTCAACCAGGCCAATAGCTTGACCGTCGTCAGTACGGTGAACTTCGTCCATGCCGGCTACACCGGAGCCTTCAGCACTGAATCCAGTCTGAGCGCGAAGTACGCGTACGATGGCAGAGCCGAATTCGTCGGCAGCTCGGATAGGTACGGCAGGGAGCGTTTCGAGTAGAGTAGGTGATGTGAACCACAAAGGGAGGAAATTGGAGATGTTGAGCCTACTGAGATCAAGAGTTGGTGCATCATCGATGTTCAGATCGTTGGCGTTGGTGTTCTTGAAAGGAGTGTCCGGCTCAGGCGTCGCAAGGACTGGGTAGTCGACAAGGATGTCCAGATGCCGTGTCATCAGTTCCACTAGAGGACTAAAAGACCGTCCTGTGAACTCAAAATATGCGTTTGGATCTGACTCTGGGCTCTGAATAGGCAGGCCAAGTTCGTCTATCCACGCTTTTACGATTTCCACCTCCTTCTCGGTGAAACTTCCAAACATCTTGCCTTCCCAGGACAACTCTGTCACTAATCTACTCTTTCCACTGCTACCCTTGATTACCCAAGGTCTACAATTGCCAAGGTCCTGTAGGAACTCTCCTTGCCACTGTGCATCTTTGAAAGCATTCGGCTCTAACCAATCCACTAAAGAACGGCGACCAATTTTCAGGCGACTGTTGCAATGGATCTTGTGGGCGACAAAGCTTTTTGCAGCAAAGATGTCGATTAGCGCCGCCTCAGTATTGCTACGAGGAAAAGGCTCTTCAGCATGGGCTTTCAGTGATGGACTTTCTGGGGTAGTGGGCAAGCCCTCAGCGAGGATGTAGCCAGCCTGCACGCGTCTCCACGCGACATGCGCGGCTTCCTCTCCTTCCTTCTCAGCTATCATCTCAATGTAGTTAGTAACTGCAGCCATTGCCATAGCAGCATGACCAGAATCGGCATTGTCGATAGATATGTGGAGTTCGAAATAGTACGGATTTAGCCGAAGTTCACGAAGCTCCTTGACGGTCTTCAACAGGTGGAGTGGCAGGCTCTCATAAGCCATGTTGAAGCCCAAAAGCTCGGGAAGAAAATCGTGAGAGAACAGGGAGATGGTAAGTTGCGCCATGGCAGCTTTCCAGCATCGCGTTTCTGTTAATCCATGGCGAGGATTGATAAAGTCCTCCGAGTCAGCAGCAGGAAGACCAGCGTCGATGTCGTTCATCAATTGTCGATATACATGTACATGGTTCTTTGCAAGGTCGCCGTCGCCAAGCTCTTCGGACATGACCTGCCATGCGTTCTTGGTAATCTGACGGTACTGGAATGGTGTGGTGATTTTGTTGATGTGTCCGAGCCACGCACCATCAACGTATTTGACTGGCGCTGCTTGCTTGAGCCACCACTTTGCCTCATCTTTGTCGGCAAACATCTCTCGGGATCCACCAGCTCTTCGACGCGAAAGATACTCCTCCCACCGGTTGGTGACGTCAACATCTTTGGCTTTGAGAAATTCATCTAATGATTCACGTGAGAATCTCTTAACGGACAGAATGCCATCTCCGGGTTCCTTGACTGCATCCGTGATTGTTGAAGAGAGTAGACTGAGAAGGAGCTTGTTGCACTCTGGCAAAATCTCAGGGTGATTCTCAAGATGATGTAGTTTGTAGTAGATGTGCTTATATCTCTCTAGCTCTTCATTGCTCAGCCGAGATGTTTCGAGAACATGGTCCTTTTCCAAGTTCGCATCTTGCGGCGGTGGTTTGACATCATTGGTAGTGGATATCGTTGGACTGCCTGGAGTTTCGAGATCTTTCCTTCTTGACCGGCCTTTGGCGAGACGATTTCGAACTTCGTTATACGCGACAAGTGCAAGGAATGCGATTAGTATCGCTGTGGTTGTTTGTAGAATGAACATGCTGAGAGGAATCGCAGTGTTCGTTTCGCGCACACCGAACTACGTTCCGTCGTTCAGCCATTGGGGAGCGCAGCTGTTTTGACTATTGTTAGCGCAGTTGTGGCAAATGAGCCACACCCATGTGAGTGCAGGCAGTGAATCATGCTGACGATGAATACGTACATGGTCAGTATCTGGAATGTCCATGTCATCGCCCTGAAGGCGATCCATGACGAGATCTGAGACTAAACCGCTTGCAGCTAGGCCAAGCGTACCCCACAGTTCGCAGGATCCGTACAAGTGGGACCTAACGCCTTCGCGACATCATTTTGTTGGTTGCAACGCAAGCGGCGCAGCACACTATAGGCAAAAAGGACGGCTCTTTGCATTGACCGGTATTGCACATCTGGCCAGCTTCTAATTGTGGACACCAAGGCTCGAGCACGACATACGCGGTGCCTCTAACCGACCTGTCATTACTAACAACAACGTCACATTGACCCCTACGTTTGTTCCGCGGCTCAAGCAACTCTTGGTATCATGTGCCTTGACAGCTGCATCTGCTGGCTGTGTCTCAGAAAGCGTTGCGCAATGAAGTCACCCGCGGAGCTAGACTTGCACCACTTCTTTAACCATGACTGAAATCACGACTGCCTACCAGGCTCTCACTAAGCACCTGGCCAAGGAGAAGTATGTCTTTGTATGTCCTTCTCCAGAGACACAGGCCAGAGTGGTAAATAAGAGACGTTCCAATGTTTCGACAGAAGATGCCCAGAACGCGTATGATTTCTTTGGATGGAATCTACCGTGTACCAGGTACGATATGCATGTTGTCTTTCTTTCACCTTGCCATGCTAACAACCTGACAGAGAAGCTCTACGATCAATAATACCTGACGATGTATTCGAAAATCTCCACAAAGCCTCCATAATCACTCAAAGTAATGATGGGGGCTACCGCTCCACTATCCGCGTATCCAACTTCTACCTTCCCAACCTCCCGAATTACGAAATTGGTGCCGCATCACCCTATTACATCCACTCGTCCTTCCCTGCATCTTCAGATTCTGTCTTCTTCGGACCTGACACATACCTCTTCGTTTCATTCCTGCAAAATATAACACGACATCTTTCACAAGCACCTAGTAGCATTATAGATGTCTGCTGCGGGTCGGGCGCAGGGGCGATACATATGGCAAGGACATATCCTCAGGCAAAGACATTAGGACTGGACCTGAATCCACGTGCGCTGAGCCTGGGCGATGTCAACGCACAGCTGGCTGGTGTGAAGGTTGGCTTTTCCGAGTCAAACCTCTATGCAACCGTACCTGAGGAAATGAAGCACTACGGCGTCGATCTCATCGTGAGTAATCCGCCCTACATCGCATCCAGCACCGATGGTAAGGACCTACCCATATACGCCGATGGTGGTGTTGGATTTGGCCTGGATATATCCTTGCGTATCGTGGAGGAAGGGGTGAAAATCCTTTCCTCGACTGGTGTCATTGTGGTATATACGGGCGTCGCCATGCCCATGGCCGACCCTGGCCGCGATGCTTTCTTAGAGAAGCTCCAACAAGTAGAAGGTGTGGAGCTTGCTGAGTACACAATCCTGCATCCAGACATGTGGCCAGAAGAGATTGGAAAGGGTGCTTACGCGGATGTGTGCAGGATACAAGTCGTTGGAGCTGTGTTGCGTCGGAATGCTCAGAGTATGGATGAGGTAAAATTAGAGACGCGCAGACGATGGGCAGTATAATATTGATTACAAGATTGAAGGGAACATTTACAGTCCCATGGCCAATGCTTGTCAAATTCTTACTTAAATTCGGCCTCTGGATGCATGCCATCTGGAATCTCTAACGCAGTTGTATACGCAGATTGTCCGACCTGCTTCCCCCACGTACCTGCAATAGCTGGCAATACACTCCTTCCCGCAAATACCGCATTGGTGTTCGGTACAGGCCAAGGAACCGACGTATTCTTGTTGCTCAACTTTCCAGCGTAGGACGCATTGAAGTACATATTGTTGAAGGGAACCTTCCCAGACCATGCTCGCACAGTATCGCCAGTCTTTGCAGCTACGAATTTGAACACGTTAGCACCTACGTCCCAACGGCCTAGTGTGTGTAAGCCCCAGTTCGCTTGTACAGTAGAGATCTCGCTGTAATGGTTGTAATAGGCATTATCCGTGGTACCGACCAGATTAGCAGGAACGGCATCTCCGAGAAGGATGCTTACGACGCGGTTCTGTTTGCCGTAGGTGTGGTTCTCGTCGAAAGTTACCATGACAAGTGTGTTGTTCATGAAGTTCTTGTTGGTGAGGAGGGGTTCGAGGAATTTACGCGTCCAAGTTCCTGCTACAGTCACGGTAGTGTCGTGTCCTGTACACCGTGAGTATGTTTCTGATTAAATATACCGTACTCTGAGGATACTCACCATCACTTGTCATGTTAGGTGTAATGAACATCCACTGCGGCAATTGATCCTTATCCATGTCTTGCTTGAACATGGTCAAAGGCTTCGTCTTGGCCAATCTGTCCGTCTTCTGCGCTACCGAATCGTACAGCACAGCTGGGTTATGCTTGCGGACGTACATGTTGGCTCCAGTTTTAGGGTTCGTGTAGGATTTTCCTTGGAAGCCAACCGACGGCATGTCTTCTTGGTATTCGCCCCAGCTAACACCTTTGTCTTCGAGGAGGTCTACCAATGTGGATACGTTGGAGGGAATCGCAACCATGTCGTCGTGGTTGATGCCATAGTAGTCACCCGATATTGATGCGGCGTAGTTGGGCATAGAAGGGTGGGTTACAGCAAAGTAGTTCGTAAGGCTGATGCCTTTCTTTGCGAGCCATGCTAGGTTCGGATCCCCAGCTGCGAGGTCGTAGTCGGTATTTTCAAGCCATATTATGGCAATGCGGTCGAAGGCTTTGCCTTTGACTATAGCATGTACTGGGCTGAGGTTCGCTAGCAAGGCTAGTGATAAAACAAAGGGAGTAATCATGATGGTTTAACCACGCTGACAATCCAGTTAGTGCTAGTGACGATGCAGTTTTTCGATGCCTTCTTACCAAAAAACGTCACAGCAACGACAAAGAGACACCCAAATGAAATGACAGCAGGCAGACACGCATGCCATCTGCCACTGGGCTTTTCATCCCATCTGTCAGGGTCATGGGATGCCGCTTTTGCTAATATCTAAAGGGTCTGGACACCTCGCGAAAACTAACTGCAGCAAAGCTGCCACATTCCCACCAATTGCGGTATGTGTATCGCACATGTGCACACTATCGGGACAGGTACTTCGCACATCGATGCACTGAATGCGGGAGGTTAAGCTTTTCGGGAAGGTGGACAAGCTTTGGATGGGTTCACGAGATCAACGTGCGAAGTTGATTGGACACACACCCTGGGCAAGGTCGAACTCGGCAAATCTGCGTTGATTGATGGCACGACCCACGGACGCAGGACATGACCACGCTGCAGATAAAGCGGCGTAGCAGGATGATCTCCTGCACTCGTGCAGCGGCTGTTCTGATGGTGGCGATGGCATTCACAGGCTCCCTGGATGAGATGACAGGTAGTGACGGTTGCCACCAACTTACAGGGTCGATCAGGGATTTGAGGGGAGTGACATCAAACATCGAAGAGATTACAGCTACACGAACACTGTGTAACGCTCTTGTGAGACTGGCCGGGAATTGATGAAGGACTGTGGAAGCTAGCCGCGATGGGCCGAGACCAAAGCTTTGGCATGAGAGACATGTCTAATTCGAACGCACGTGAGCCCGAGGAGCAAGTTGGCTTGCTACATGCATCTACCGACGACGATAGCGAACACACAGAAGATGATCGGGGAGCGCGCTGGACCGATAAGCACGAAACCGCACAGCACCACAAACCTCGGCGGCCATGGATCAGAGTCACCACCGTTGTTTTTCTCCTCGTTTCCACAATTATCGTCTTGGTGCACCGAGGACTAACCGGCAGCGAGCACACTGCTTCGCCATCCACTACCTCTAGTCTTGCAAGACTTCGACCGCAAGAAGACTACATACTCTCTTCAGCATGGGATTTTAACGCTCTACCTACGACCCGGGAGTATACTTGGGAAGTAACCGACCACATTCTCAATCCTGACGGAGTGTATCGCCCTATGATACTCATCAATGGCACCTTTCCTGGGCCTCTGATCGAGTGCAACGAAGGCGATGAGCTCGTTGTTCATGTCCGCAACCGAGCCACCAATGCCACATCTATCCACTGGCACGGTCTCTACCAGAACGGCACAAACTGGATGGATGGAACAGTGGGAGTCACGCAGTGTCCGATTGCCCCAGGCCATTCGTTCACATACCGGTTCAATGTAACAGGGCAAACGGGAACGTACTGGTACCACTCGCACGTTAGCATGCAAGCGTCAGATGGACTCGTGGGACCGCTCATCATACACGCCCGGGACGGAGAAGAGAAGATGGAATTGCAAAAGGCACCGTATGAACAGGACCGTGTAATTCTACTGTCGGACTTCTACTACGATCTGTCCTCCGACCTACTCATGCAGTACCTCTCCCCCGGCAGTGAGAACGATGAGCCTGTTCCCCAATCTGCCCTGATCAACGGACGAAACGTGCGAGACTGCGCCGATTTACCGAGTCGAAACTGTTCATCGTCTGGCAATAGCAATGCTTTGTTTAGCTTGTCGCGCACGAGCAATACACGACTTCGCATTATCAACGTTGGGGCTTTTGCAGAGTTTGCCTTGCAAATTGACGAACATGAGTTCCAGGTCACAGAAGTAGATGGCACGGATGTGTACCCTCAATCAGTTCATCGGCTGAACATCAACCCTGCGCAGCGGTACAGTATAATCCTCACTCCACCCAGTGAGGACGAGAACAAAGAGGCGTATTGGATGCGTGCAAGGATGGTGACGCACTGTTTTGCGTATGAAGAGCCGGAATTGCAAGAAGAAGTTAGGGCTATACTATACTATCCTACAACAGATAGTGAGACGAAGGATATTGTACCAAAGAGCAAGGATTGGCCTGAGATCATCGATGTCGAATGTCGGGACCTGAACACTTCGACTCTGGAGCCTGTCATCACAATAGCACCACCAGAGATCGATACTCAATACGCCCTCTACCTCCGCTCCTCGTTCCAGATTGGGGATTGGAGACTCTCGCGAGGCTATTTGAACGATAGTTCTTTTCGCACAAATGCTACCTCGCCGATCCTAAACACCATACTTTCGACACGGACCGTTGAGTCGAGTGTTCACGAAAGAATTCTAGACACGGACACGTTTGACCCTCTGCACCAACCCATTTATCAGACGCAATCGACGCGGACCATAACGATCCTCATACAGAATCTAGACGACGGAAACCATCCCTTCCATCTCCATGGCTACAAGTTCTTCGTCCTCGCTCAGGGACACGGGTATCCACCTTCTTCCCTTCTCGAACCCGACCATGTTGGAAGTCATCTCAATCTGACGAATCCGCTGCGGAGGGATACAGCAAGTGTAGAAGCATACGGGTGGCTGCTGATATCATTTGTGGCCGATAATCCAGGCCTGTGGGCGTTTCATTGCCATATAGGCTGGCATACTGAGGCTGGCTTGATGATGGTGTTTGCCACTAGGACGCGAGAGATGAGGGGCTGGAAGGTACCTGAGGAAGTTGATGGGTTGTGTGGGCTGGAAGGAGTAGAGAGGGGTATGGCGCCAGATGATGATGTCTGGGTTGGCAGGAGGGAAGAAGAAAGGAGAGGTGGGATTGATAGATTATCGTAGCAGTCTAGGCATCTCTTTGGAATGCGCAGCATTATTGTTGCTGAACTGCTAGGAGATGTGCCTGATTTCTCATTCCTGTTGATAGATGAGATCAAACTCTCTAATATACATACTTCGATGTTCACGTCTCGTTGCAACGATAGCCCAAAGTTCAAAAACGAAGTTGGGGTTTCGAACATTGGGCTGTTGACCTCTCCTGTCATCAAGGTCCTACGACTTGTTGTCGCTCATGACTCATATCCTACACTGTCCTCGAAACCTCACTCCCAAATGCCAAACCACTTCTTCACCCTCCTCCTCCTGATACCATCCTCACCAACGTAATACCTCGGGTCCTCGATATATTCCTCGCCCCTCTCCTCAGCCTCCCTCTTTCTCTCCAATCGGAACTGCTTCCTCTTCTCAACCTCTTCGGCCTTCTTCAGCCTCTGCTGCTGGTACTGCTGCGACGTCTGCTCCATGTGCATCTTGTAGACTTCAATGAAGCGCGAGGTGGATTCGAAGGGGTGGCGGACAAAGTCTTTGCGTGTAGGAAGCAAGTGGCCGAAGACGGTCTTGGAGATGAAGTCCATGTACCATGCGGCTACGGCGAGGGAGACGAGTATGCCCTGTTGAACAAAGTGGGGTTAGCCTGGGGGAACGTTTGGACAATCAGGCGGGGTGTTGTCGGGAGCGCTACCATTGTGATCCACAGATGGATTGCCCGATTGTGGAGGAACCAATGCGAGAAGGTGCCCTCTGGACTCATCATATTGGGGTATTTCTTGGACGCCATGCGCTTCTTGTCTTCTTCCGATACGGGCGCGCCATAGATCCTGTTCTCCAGATTCCGGTTTGGGGCTCGCTTGCTGTGTGACGGCGGCCGGTACTTGTCGGGCTGCGGTATTACGGGCGCTCCCCTCTGCTGCTGTGCTTCTCGCCGTCTCCGAAACTCTTCTGACAGGCCCTTGGGGGTGATGGAGGCATGGCGGACACTGGTGGGTGAGGGCAGTGGGAGGAAGGCGCGAGCTTGAGGTCGCAGGAGCAGCGGGCCCCGGGGAAGGAGAAAGCGCGGTATCGATTGGAGGGTGGCCATGGCTGTGGGTGGTGATGCTCGTCGTCTCGGGAGTCCGCAGAACCATGGGATGAAGATCTTCAGTTGCCGGAGAAAGCTCGGGCCGGCGCATACCTACAATTAATCGTTTGGGCATCATCGCCTCTCCTCACTTCTCTCCTCATGGCAACAAGCCCCTTTTCACTCATATCGCGCGTGTACACGCGCTTCGGCTGCAACTCACCTTCCATCTGTTAGTGGAGAGACGACGACTAATCGCAGAGTGGTATTGACGCCAGTGTGTCCCAGGTCGCAATGCCTTCTAAGCAACCGCCCTCGTTCGGATCGCAAGCCTACTGGAATCATCGCTTCGCTTCCAACACGGATCCTTTTGAATGGCTCGAGGCTCCCAATGTCCTGGATCCCTATATTGTCGATTCTTTAGACGCTACGCCCACGCCCAAGCCCCAACTTGTCCACATAGGTTGCGGCACCTCGCTACTATCCTACCATTTGCGGGCTCATGTAGACAGCCCGCAACAGATACACAACTTGGACTACTCGGAAGTTGCCATTGAGGTTGGCAAGATCCGCGAACAGGAGATATACCAGGATCCGAGGGCCAACGTCGCGTGCATGCGCTGGGACGCTGTAGATCTGCTCGACTACAAGTCTGTGATGCGCGTATGCAAGCGCGCTACCTATTCGGCTATAGTTGACAAGTCAACATCCGACTCCATTGCCTGTGCAGACGACGTCCTTGTTCCTTCACCGTACCCGCTAGCGGTTCGATCCTATGAACCCCTCAATTTGGATACCCCCAAATCTCCAGAACTCATTCATCCTTTAGTTGTCCTGGCTGTGAATTTAGCGCTCGTGACGAAACCCGGAGCGCGCTGGATCGCTCTGTCTTACTCAAGCGATCGTTTCTATTTCCTGGATGCATCTGCAAAGGACGTAATACCTCAAGGTGTAGCTTTCCCACATCCAGCTGATCTGTGGCATCTAGTGGAGAAGCGCGAGATTGAGGACAATGACTGGCAAGTGCGGGACGAGAAGAGAGATGATGCGGTAACACACAGACCAAAGGTGGGCAATTTTGTATATATTCTGGAGAGGACCCATTTGCCATTGTCTATTCGCGGAGAACACATTTAAGCAAGAAGCAATTTTCTTCTCTCCAAATTAGCATCTCCGCCAGGCCAGAATCACGACACAGAACCACCAAGCCACTTTTCATAGCAAACACTCGCTTCAGCCAACGAATATTTCCCAAACATCCCCCGCTGAGCGAATCCGCATCTCTCATAAAAACGCCTCGCCGTTGTCATATCGACGCCTGTCTCCAGTAACAACCACGGCAATCCTCTTTTACGTGATTCACCTTCCAGCTGCTCAAGTATCAGCTGCGCAACCGAAGTGCGTGCCCCGTCATGCCCGCCCAATCGGCCCCGGTATGCTGGGGCAACAAACATCCGTTTTATCTCAGCGGAATTCTTGCGTGCATTTTCCGAAGCTGAAGAAAGAGGACGTAGGCCACCGCATCCTACTGGTTTGCCGTCGTGATATGCAATAAGAAAGACTGCAACGTCAGCAGCTGATGGTGGATCACAGTAATCTGGACCCCATTGAGCAGTTATCTCGGCTTGTTGGGTGGTACGGAGTTGAACGCTATCTGGGTGGTCGAAGGGAACTGGACGTATGACGATATCTTGGGTAGATGGCATGTTGAAAGTGGTACAAAGAAGCGATGTCGAGCCAAGTCTAGAGATATTTCCATGTTCTAGAGCACCACGCCCTACTCACGACAGGTAGGTTACTCAAGGCTAGGAGTCATAGGCTAGCGTTATCGGACCTTCTGTTTGCGGCAAGTTGCTAGTAGAATATGTACTAGAGTATTGGAGTCACCGAATACGAGGTTCTTTGCATCCTTACGCTGGCCATGATCTCATTGGTCCAACGCGACTACCAACAAGCTACAGTTTAGGCGTCGATCATGCACCTCCACGATTCACTTTCTCACCATCCATACCGAGCGTATCTTCAAATACACACAGTATGGCGCAATCGCCCTGTCCGACACGCCAATATGCCTCGGAAAACTTCATTGAAAGCTGCGGCGCCATTGCCCACGACCCCACTCGCCAGAAGATTTGTCTAATCCACCTCGCTCAATCAAATATGTGGGTACTACCGAAAGGACGGCGAAACGTCGGAGAAGCGCATCGAGAGGCCGCACTGCGCGAGGTGTACGAGGAGACTGGGTATAGATGTCATATCCTGCCTGTGGACATGGTTGCTAGAACGCCTGTTGTAGGTGATGCAGCGGATGCTCCTGATGTGCCGCACACGTTACACAACTCAGTGGAGCCTTTCATGGTCACTGTCAGAACTGTGAGAGAGGGTCAGGGTGTCAAGATTATTTGGTGGTATATTGCGATAATGTATGAAAGTGCTGGTGAAACAAAGGGGCCTGGTGAAGAGGGGGTTGAGACAGGCTTGTTCTCGTATCCTGATGCTGAAGAGTTGCTATTCTATGAGACAGATCGAGAAGTGTTGCGCAAGGCCAAGGTACTTGTTGGGAATCTAGACTGAGTCGACTAGTCCTCCAAGCCACGTGCAAAGGACGAACTAATCTTCTCTCTCCAGCCACTGCTTGCTCGCCTCGAAGAGCGTTGGGAAGGCATCATCAAGAGACATAAGCTTCTTGAAATAATCCTCGCTCACGCGCTTGATGAAATGCATCATTGACACAAGAATGAAGTCTGCATAGGAGACTGCTTTCTGATTAGCATGCATTACTCAGATCTTCCACTGAAGTCGTCTTCACTTACCAGTCTGACCAAGGAAATACGGGCCACCGTTTTTCCTCAACAGATCGCCCATCTCCTTCGCTGGCGCTTTGGCCTTCTCCCAGCACTCCTCAGCATTAGCATCCTTTTCTACTTGTTCCAGTGGCTTTCCGAACAACTCCTGCCTCGTCTCGTAGAAGTAATCAGCACTTGGCTTGTTCAAGAATGCTTCTGGCACCCGAGGGATAATTAGGGATCTGAGCGGACCCATTAAATTGGGTTGGAGGTCCCTGATCCTCACAACAATCGGATCGTCGAAGTGTAAAGAAGGACTCGGGTACTGCTTCTCGAGCTCAAGAGCAATGGGCCATGAGTCCATTTGGTAGGTTCCGTCTGTATGCTTGATAGCAGGACTGGTATAGTCGGTGAAATAGCCAGGTGCGTCCTTGGGGTTCGGGGGAATGCCGAGGGATTTGAACTTGGGTACGAGATCAGGATATTCCACCCATTCGGTCGTGTAGTCAATCTTCTTGTAGTTCAAGACCATGCGAGCTGCAAGCTTATTAGTGTTTTCGACATATTATAGTTAACGTGAAAATAAAACGTACTCTTCCATGGGTTCAACGACCACGCGGCGCCGTCTCTGCTAGGGAGATCAAACAGGATTACCTTTGACGACGACGACGACGACGACGACATTGTTGCTTAACCGTGATGATCGATAGCTGCAGGCAAGGCCAGGATATATACGACAAAAAGTAGACGTTTGAGATCAATTGACATTGCGCCCTTCGAGCTATCTTCTCCACAGTCATTTGTCATCGACCGGTAGTTCGGTGTGGGGAATACCTGAAGCTAGTCGGCTTGAAGCTCTCGCGCGCGGATCATCGCTAATCCAACCTCGCTGTAGCCTCGTGATGACGGAGTCATTGTACAAAGCAGTACAGAACGATTGTAATGTCTGTGAGCAGTTCGGAGATTGGTGAGTACTCGCATGGGTGCAAGCTGACAGAGACGTCAAGCGAGCGAGCCGCGGCCGAAGCTCAGGTACTCCTTCCCACCCGGGCAGTCGCGTCGAATACAACAACATTCACAACAATACTGATGCAAGCTTCATACACCCTCGCGTAATTCCCATAAGTGCATACCCGGGTTCAGGCGTATTCTGCGACATACTAAAAGCTCTCCGCCTTGCGCTTTCCGCGCTACTCAAGTACCTTCCCGCTGTTGCATCCTAGGCGAATGGGGAGTTCGGCCCCCCTCGTGGCTTCAGGCCACCTGCACACTCAGAAGGCTAGATACGCCTCGATAAAACGATGTGCACTCGACGGGCAGTCAGAGCTAACAATAGTACTACTGATCCCTACAATCATTGGCTCTAGTGTAAGGCTTAGCCTCTTGCTCGGCAGAATGCAAGACGAAGAGGTCATGAGCTGGATCACGCTTCTGTATCGAGGGCTGCTTCACGATAGGCGCATGGTAAGTAGCAGAACGACTGTTCCAACTTCTATTATTATATTCTGATACCTCTTTTCTTCTTTTCTTCTGCCTCTCCGCGGGACTTTCCAGTTGCTTCGCCTGTCTTGTGCCGCTCAAGAGGCCTGCAGCTGCGCTTGTTGTGGCCCCCAAACTTTCAGCCCCCAGAGCCACCAATGCTTCCTGGATCGCCGTGCGGGAACTTGTCGGCAGGAAGCGATAAGAACGCCATGTGCGCTCCATGGGAATTCTTCATCTTCTCTGCCTTCGATCATACCTCCTGCACCTTCCCTAGGCAAAGCCTTGCAAATCTACCCCGCGACAGCTCTCGTTTGTCCTCAGATATCCAGGTACCACGACTCCTACCAGTATATCAGGAACTCCGATTTTGCTGCCGAATACGCAAACAACCCTACTCGCTACTTGGTTAGGCTAGATCCACCCAAAACGCTTGTACTGTCCCATCGGACTGGGTACGAGATCTGGAGCTGCGCAAACCCACTTTCACAGGTGTGGGGTAAAGCTCTGATACATCGTCTTCCCAAACGAGGCAAGAAGCAATGGACCGCAATCGCACAGTTAGTGGTGGGCATTCTGACAATGCACCATTAATGAGCTCAGCCGAACCGCCAGGTTACGACAGTGGAGATATAGCGATGCGACACGATACATCATACGCACCCGACGATACGTCCTACTCACCACCAATGGTCTTGTCGCCCGAAATCATGGAGTCCAAGGGTGGTGCCTACACCACCCTGAATACCCCACGTACCCCCAGCTCGACGTTCGACGTAGAAGACGGGACTTATCACCATCACAAACATCACAATCGAGTCAAGCGTTTTGATCACCGTGAAGCTCGGAAAACACTTTTGAAGACTGGAGCAATGAAGCTTCTTGTAACACTGTTCTTCAGTGCAGCGATGTGTGTCACACTCAAATCGTGGGAAGGATGGCGCGGACCCATCGTCCTTTCTAATCTCGAAGTCCGAATCTTCAACTCGCTCACGATTGGGCTTTCGCTGTGTCTGGGTTTGAACATCTTGGCCTCGTTGAAGCACTACGCATCCGTGTTTCGATGGTCCTTCCTCACTAGACGATACGTCAGTTTGGAAGTATTCGATCTCATACTACACCTAGGCTCGCTTGCCAAAGTCACAAAGTTGATGATCCTCAGCTCACCTGGATTTCGTGGCAAGACCTGGCTACGGAAGTTTGGCTGGTTCAAGGACGTCAGAGACGACGGGACCAAGTGGATGTGGCTTGCGTGCCTAGCTTGGCTGTCTCTCAACATTGGCTCCCAGATCTTGGTTGCATTACTGAGTTTGTTCTGGCCAATGGAGAACTCGCTTCTCCCACTTTTTTCCTATGGAACTGTGATGGTTGCCAACTTGGATAACTGGTCTAATGACGCCACCTCACCCGTTATCGTCGAGGACAAACCCCGATTCACTGAAAGCTCTCTCGAAGCGGCTTGGATGTTCGGCACGGAGGCTACGGCTTACCCTGAAAGCAATTTCACAACCTTTGAAAATATGACAACCGACCTCTCCGGTTTGCAAGGTGCACCCATCTATAGGGACGATGCTGCTTGGCACTATCGCTTCTTCAACCGCGAGCCAAAGCATCCTTGGGTCAACTATGCAGCCAGTTCGCGCATTATAAGTGTCCAAGCAACGTGCGACAAACTTGAGATACAAAACACCAGTCTGCAAATTACTGAAGATGGAGAGGATTGGTATCTCATGGGAAGAAAGCCGGGTACTGAAGAATATAGCCCCCACATTGTCACTGAGACAGCTTATGGATCTGTCACCTGGATGGCATCTGTGGATGAGAACTGTGGCCCGAGGTGTACAAATTTCACCGTCGTCCGACTGCCCGACGAAAAGTATGTAAACGATACGTCCCTATTCACTTGCGAAAACACTCTCGGAAACGTAACATCCAGCCGGAACGCAAAAAATGATATCACACTGCGAAATCCTGCCGATGTTGACGCAGTGTTTGGTAGCGACGACTTTGCTCGTATAGCCGCTGGGGCAATAGCCTGGACTGGCATTGCCTGGGTTAATTCAGACTACCGACAAACGCGATCCTACAGTCAGGGCTCCAAATGGTCTCCGGCGAAAGAGCTCAAGGAAGAACAGCTGGAAGACTTGCTAATGCGCTTCACGATCGGTGCTGTAGCCGCGTTCGACGACCACGGCATCCGCTACAACGTCCCCGAACAAACTGTTGTTCCCTCACAGGGTCAACAACTCAATGTAGACTGGTCCTATATCTTCAGTATTTTGGGCGGAATATGCTTTATCCAATTCTTGGCACTCTGTCTAATGGGCATCTTTGCTAACCGTACGATTGTGCGGGATGAAAGTTACTTCAGTATGGCTATGCTGTTGAACCCTGTTGTAAGCCGCATCAAGAGCGAGGCAGCTATGGTAATGAGCGGGAGTGAGATCAAAGATAGCAAGGCGCTCAGGTTCAAGAAGATCAAGTACGACTATCATGAGGGAGGAAAAGGGGAGCCGAATCGCGTCGCTATCTTCTTTGAGGGTGAGGATCGTCGAGAGAGTAGGAAGAGTTGGGCGGCAGGGAGCTATGCTTGATTTCGTCGTACTTGGTACGACTCCTCGATTTTACGAATACATTCAGATTATTGTCATTGTTGCACTTGACTCAAAAAAAAACATGGTGATGCTTGGCAAAGGGGCACGCAGTAGGCGGCGCAGCACGGAAGGTTGGTTTGTGCGGATCGGCATGCCGCGTGGATCGACGTGGTTGTATGACGCTCACTTCACAACGACTGTGTGCTGGCCAAGCGACTAGACACAACTCCCAAATGGACCGGTCCAGCCTTCCTTGTGCACATGGAGATGCGCGGCAAGGCATTCGTAATAGTCTGATACTCTGGTCACGGGAGGAGCGGAAGGCGTACCGCGGGAACCATGCAACCATCCAGAGGTTGTAGACTGCGCCTTCCTGCTATCGATTGATACTTGCCTGAATCCTACAGCCTCGCCTCAACTCGCCTCCTACACTCGTACCCAGGAAACACTATGCTCATGCAATCATCATCCACTTACATTCATCCCCCTCTAGTATTGTTGTTGTAGCCCCACGCTCGCTCTGCGCATTATTAGCTCACACATGGTCGGCTCAGCCCACGGTTGAGGGGTAGGATTCCACAATGGTAGGTTGGATGCAGATCGCATGCCTCAGCGCATATTCCTTTGTTTCGCACGCTCTAACACACGTCATTAGGGTTGTTGCGCCTCACGCACGAGCGACGGCAGTCCGCCTGCTGTCCACGCGCATTCGTCGTCGCGCAACATTACGGCGCCTTCGACGCGACCAAGCTCAGTCCCTTCTCCACGCGCCTCTCATGCCTCGCAGGGAAATGTCCACCCACCGCGAGCCGACAATCGCCCAAACACCCCGCTGAAGCCCATCCCCTCTGCTCAGCGCTCGCGCCTGCCGAATACGCTCGCTTCCATCACCACCAAGACCAGCAGCCGCGTCAAGCCTCTGACCGACTCCACGAACCTGACATGGACGCGATCGCGATTGGACAAGGAGCGCGGGGACTGGTGGGATACACAAGTCACAGGTTCGGAGCAGATATGGCGCGCTGTACGCCTCGTGGCGCACTATCTACAGGCTGGGGAGCTGCAAGAGGCTCAGACGATGCTGGATGCCAATGATTGCACGTGTCCAACGGGACTACTTTGGCGAGGCGTATACGATCCGACTGGCGTCCAATACAAAGTTCCCGAATGGGTGATTATTGAGCCAGAGGGACTGGCAGAAGAAGAAGATATAGACGACAAGGACGTGGCTGGAGATGCCGGCTCCAGTGCTATCCAGGAGACGTTGGACGACCCGGTCGACGACGATTCTAACGGCCTCATACGTGTGCGAATAAGGACGAGCCATGACCAGAAGGATGTTCCGGTCGTGATTCGGATGCGAGACACTGTCGCAGTCGTCATTGAGAAGCTGAAGCAGCAAGCAAAGGTACGCCTTCTCTCTCCCCGCTACACAGCCTGCGCAAAGCAAGCCCATTGCTAACAATACACAGCTCGATTCCACCGTCAAAGTCCGCCTCGCCTATGGTGGGCGCCTCTACCAAGACACCGAGACGTTGGAATCTCATTCTTACTGGGACTTTGCTAACAACTTCATCATCACCGGGCTTGTGTTTATCGTTTGATACCCTTCCTTTTCGTTCCACTTCTATCAATAACAAGGTATAGTTTAAAGTCTACATTGTCTTCTAATAAGAAGGCTTATAAAGATTAATAGTCTTGTAGCTTTCTAGGGTTTCTATTCGTATCTATATAAATCTAATACGCTTTATTGTAGTAGGAAAAAGTACCCTACCCGAAAGAGGAGGTTGGTTTCTCTCTTTGATGTAGTGATTGCGAGCTTGTAATTGTAGTCGCCAGGCCAGGTCTGGAGTGGTGCCTATCCCACTCAAATAAAACACAATCTTACCCATTGATCGTCTGGGTTCCACCTTTCATCTGTAAAGAATATTGAGATGAGAATGATGGAGAATATACTGCATATAGCTGGGCCATCGCTCATGTGGTACCGCGTACCATTGGTTCCTTTCCTTGCGGCACAACAGACGCTCACGCCGTCTATAAAGGGCTCGTTTTACCAGTGAGTGACAACCATGCATACGTTAGACGAGGTTGAGTTCGTTCGCACTCGAACATTAGGTCAGTATCTCTGGCCTGTGCTTAAACCCGGGGTAGCATGGATGAAGTTTTTCAGTGCGCTCATACAGTACGGCACGCAGCGATCCTGATTGGTTCAGTTGTAATGTCGACAAGACGGGGCGTTGTGCTGCCTTTGGCTTATGCATGTGCTCAAATGCGCATCTGCGTGCAGTGACCGACGGTGATTTTTCTTACTCGAATCGGTAACTCGACCACCACTTGGCTCAAGTCTAATGCATACACCTCATACGAGGGGAAACGTCAACATTGGTAGGTATGACAAGTACTTTGTTGCGAGAACAAGTCCTTTGTAAGCGACATATTAGGATACTCTAGTACCGTCGCGGAAGCTAGACCTTGCTAGAGGCGTTGTATTGTCAAGCACGGGCCTAGCGCCACACTGCTGCGCCTCGCGTTGACCGCCATACTCCGCAGCCAGCCTCCCCTGCATCCCCCCAGCTAGCATGAGCTTCGTGAAGCATACATCCCCGCATTGAGATGGGCGCGCGCAAATGCAGCCTTCGCTTGCGGTAGACCGCCATGACGTATTGGCCTATCTCGTCGCCCTCCGTCTTCGCGGCCACTAAACGTACGGATCTCGGGCGCGCACACACCTCACACGATGGCGCCGAACACCAGCAACCAGGCGAACAAGATGCCGACAAACCATCACAGACGCGTCCTGGAGATGGGGTGTCTGCGCAAAGTAAGAGTGAGGTAGAAGACAAGAATGGCGCGTCGGTAGAAGACGACATACATGGCACCATCATTGCCATCAGAGCGACCAGGAGTGGGCACATGTTTGCGACCCTCACCAGAACAACGCTCACGGTCTGGCAGACAAAGGCACGTCCCATTGCCAGCGTGACGCCTGAGGTGCTAACTCTTCGTAGCCTACGATTGTTCTGGCTTCAGTACTGCGCTCAGAGCAATCCGTCCGAACATACGGCCCCAACACCGACGTCCTACTGCGCCCTGACTCTCAGATCTTCGTCGTGCAGACCACGCTCGGCTTCCTCATCACGTACTCGCTCGCGACAGACCACTCGTCCCGCATCTACCAGGCTCAATTCACTAACACGCACGGGGGCCACACCAGGAGAAGCAGTGCAATCACTGGCTTCAAGATTCAGCGTCAGCATGATGTCAATGCGGGGCCAGGAGAAGGCAGCGGCTTGAAAGAGCTCAGCCTACGCTTTCGGATGGTCATACGGGTCGATGCTGGTATCATCAGGGCTCTGGCTCTGGACGACGAATTGATTGTCGCAACTGGGAAGCCCGCTGCTGTACAATGTATTCGTTGGGCGCCAGACAGCACTGGTAGTCAAACGAGCACTGAACTATTGGCAAAGATGTCATGGTTGGGAAACAATGCATCGCTGCGTGAAATGGTCCATGATCGGCCTATGAACCTGTCGTGTTGGATCACAGGCGACGGACAAGCCTTTGCAGTCCAAAAAGCGGCTCGAAAAGACGCCGTTGCTCCCAGTCTCTTCCGTGGCTATGGTTTCCATACACCCGAAACAGCCGCAGATCACGGCGTGAAAGCTGCAATCAATGCAAGGTTTTCATTACTTGCTGTTGGCTGCGCCAGTGGTGAAATCTATGTTTACACCGCACGCGACTACACTGGCAACATTCCCCTCTCTCACAAGCTACGACCGAACGTTACATCTCCCGGAAAGATGACCGTCTTGACTTACTCGCCAGATGGATACTGTCTTTTTGCTGGCTACGAACGTGGCTGGGCAATGTGGAGTGTATACGGAAAGCCTGGGGCAACGAGCTTCACAGCAGAAAGAACACTTTCCAAGACAAACAACGAAGAGTGGCTTCTGAGCATCAAAGAAGCATTCTGGATCGGGGGTGGTGCAGAACTGTTAATGTTGAGCAACGATGACAATCGTCTCTTTGTATTAGAGATGGCTCGAAGTGCAGTAACCGGCTGCTTCTCTTCGGCTAACGTATCACGGTCTTTGATGCAGACAAGCACCGGCTTCATGATCTACCGTGGTTACGACTTGCCAGACTTGACGACGATTTCTGCCGATGTCTCCCTGTGGCATCATGTTCAGATTCCTTCGGCCTACCTTGTCGACCAATGGCCAATTAGAAGTGCGGTCATCTCAAACGATGGTCGGTATGTGGCAATAGCGGGCAAGAGAGGGCTTGCCCATTACAGTGTAAACAGCGGGCGTTGGAAGATGTTTGACGACCCTTTCATAGAGAACGAGTTCACAGTTCGAGGGGGTATGTGCTGGTTTCAGCATGTTCTGATTGCAGCGATCGAATGTCGCGATTCCCATGAGGTATGTGTGTCCTCTATTCACCTTTTCGTCGAAACTGACAATGTGTTTTCAAGGTTCGCGTATACTCACGCGAGGCAGCGCTCGATAATAACCACATCATGCATACACAGAAGCTACCTGCGCCCATTGTCCTCATTGCACCTTCTGGCGAAGATTCACTTCTCGTCTACACCTACGAGAACATATTATATCACTACGTTATTAGTGTTTCAGATGCAAGCGTAAAGTTGGTACAAGTTGGTCAAATCGCGCTGCACGGTATCATTCGTGCACCTACTCGAGTGCGAGCACTTAGCTGGATATTACCAGAGGACCAGATCCGTAAGTGCTCAACATCTGTCACTACAAGATTTGCTAACGACTTACAGACAACGGCGATCCATCACAAGATGTCGCAGTCGCAACTATCCTGTTCCTAGTGGATGGCAAACTCGTGCTTCTCCAACCGACGACAACCGAAAGTGGCGACCTCAAGTATGAAATGCGCATCATCGCGCAGAATGTAGAGACGTATGCTCTCATGCGCGACCACCCTGCTTTCGCATTGGATCGGCATGCCGATTCGTTACCGGCGAGTCCGTCCATGGAACTGACGATGGAAGGGGTACACGGCCACGATCTCCGTGACTCACTCTGGTTTTTTGATGGTCATGACATGCGAGTTTGGATAGATATGCAGGATGTTCTTGCTTCCGCTTCACCAGAAATTGGTCGAGAACTCCCAACACCTGTTCAGATTCCTGTCGATTTTTATCCTCTCTCGGCATTGATCAACAAAGCGATCATATTCGGTGTGGAATCGGAGTTGATCCAACGTAGGGATACAAACTTCGCCTTCCTGCGTTTCGGCACTAGAGTAAGCTGTCGCGCCCTGCTCCGCGCCTAATAGCTGGCTCGTCAATCATATGCTGACACACATGCTAGACACACCTCTTTCTTCCCGCACTGCTACGGTCCCACTTGGCGCAGTTCAATCACCCCGCAGCCTTACATCTTAGCCACCATTATCAGCACTTGCTTTACTTCCCCCACGCTCTAGAAATCTTGCTGCATGAAGTCCTGGACGAAGAGGTAGATACCCAGCCACCACCCGAGCAAGCGCTATTGCCAAGTGTGCTGTCGTTCCTGAGCTCTTTTCCTCGATATCTCGACATCGTTGTGCAATGTACCCGCAAAACAGAAGTGCGTTCGTGGCGGACGTTGTTTTCAAACTTGCCTCCACCGGAAGAACTATTTGAAGAATCACTGCAGAAAGGGAATTTGAAGACCGCTGGTGGTTATCTGCTGGTCCTCCATACATTTGAAGAACTGCGGCCAACAGGCGATCAAGTTGTCCGCCTACTCCAACGTGCCAAAGACGAACAAGATTGGGAGCTATGCAAGGAACTTGCGCGTTTTCTCATGGCTCTTGATGAGTCTGGTGCAACATTGCGAAGTACCTTGGAGCTTGTGGAGCTGAAGACTCCGTCAGCAGAGCCAGGCTTTGGCCAGTCACACTTTACGTTCGACACTGCCCGACTAAATGTACCCATGCGCAGTCGCAATAACGGGATTAGGTCGTTGGGCGGACCAGGCGTCGATTTTGGGTCCGACGGCGCTGGCAGGACCTCACGGGAGAATGGCGACACTAGTCCTGGTGTGAGTGACGTGAGTGCTAGTAGTGATGCAAGCCCTTCAAAAGTACCGGGGGACTACTTTGGCCTTGGCATGAACAGTTTGCGCCAGTAGTAGTCGTAGTAGTAGCTGGGACATTGGGAAAGTTCCATTGAATGTAGTTGTATAATTTTTCACAAGAGTTCCCTATACTCAATGTTGCCATACTCACAACAGCAACATTAAGCGACCAAGGTACTCGGGGTGCGGTAGACCATCCGACGGTCCCAAGTTCTCGGTCTGGTCCTGCTCCTCCAGACCCCAAGCCATGCAGGGAGGTCGTATTGGCCCCACAGGGCTGCTTACAGGACCTCACGACGGGCTAGAGAAGCATGGCGATTGGTGATGGAGATTGGCCTACCTCCGTCTACCGTATCTTTCACAGGATTCCGAAGTATGGCGTGCCCATGTAGCTGGTACACTTGTAAGCGAAACGCTTAAATTGTGGTAGCATTTGTGGCCTCCGTATCTCCGTCCAACGTAGTATCGCTTGATTTCTTGTGTCTTGTAGTTCAAAGGTACGTAGCTGAGCTAAGCCGTTTCAATAGACCAAGATGCCATGGCACATGGTTTGATGTCTGCTACTGGACCAAAGTTTGGCCAGGTATGCGACAGCAAGGTTGGCGGTCGCTTGTAAGATGTGGTGTAATCGCTCGGGCGGTGAGATGCGCGTGGTCTTCCCTCTGTTTCCACGGCTTGGTGATCAGCTACAGCACGTGTGAAGCAGTATCCAATGGACTGTGGTCTTGCCACAAGGCAAATGCTGCAGATAGGGTCCCTCTCATCGTTGAAAAACGGATAGGGCGCAAATACACCAATGTGCCCTCCCATGGGTAATGCGCACATGGTGACAAACATCTGCGTCCGACGTGACGTATCCATCAAGACATTGATGAAGCCTCGAAAGATCCATGTCTCCATGATATTTCGTCTCCATCGCGTCCCGCGCTGAAGGGAGTGCCAGTGCAATGGGCCGGCTTTCAGGCAACCAGCAATCCCTCCATCCCCGGCGCGCTGGCCTCCTGTTTGCTCGTCAATGTAAAGACGGCAAAACACAGCCACGGCTGCCTCACCGTATTCTCACGTTGCTGCGCATGCTCAACACACGCTTTATGACGCACAATTGCTTGCTCTCCGCTTCATACTGTAACACAGGGCTTTTGAAAGGCCGGCATTGCGCCTGTTTTGAATTGACTCCCCGGCGGCAAGGCACACTGTCGCCAACCGTGTATATAATCGTCTGGCCCCATTACTCTCAGCCCTATCCGAACCGATCGATCACCTCTCCTCTGCACTAGGAATGACCAAGACACTTGGTTCATCGTATCGAACATCATCGCGCTTGCCAATCTATCTTGAGTATCGAGCTAGCTAAGACGACAACAATGACTGCCCCTCCAGCCGCACGACCGCTGTTCTCCGCCGCCCACTCCATGCCATTCGCCTATCCTTCACCAGCATCCACTATTGCATCAGACACGAGCTACTTGCATTGTAACGTAATGTCACCTCGGCAGGAATTCAATGGTAAGCGTACCTTTTTCGTGTTGTCGAAGATACCGGTTGCGCGTACCACATGCAGAGGCGGTCTTGCTGCCGAGGTCCATCGCGTGCCTGCTGCACCTACACAGATGGTGTAACGCGATCACCAATGTCAACGACCGTCTCGACTGCCGTGACTAGCTCACTCTAGCGATACATCATGCTAAGATGAGGCAGATATCACATACTCGCGGAAGTCAGTGAGCTCTTCGCCGACAGCGCAGTCAGCCGGCAGTGGAGGTTTCCAATGGATTACCGGCAACAAGCCGGACGACTTCAAAACCAAGCATGTTATGCAAAAAGTGCGCCAAACTGCCATGGGCAGTTATCTGCAAGGCGCAAGGAGCCAGGCAAGCAACAAGTCCAGATCTAACAGTGAAGCCTCGGATAAGTCTCAATCGAGTGTCGGTGATCAAGGCGCAACGAAAACCCGGCCTATGAAGACACCAAAAGGCAAAGGAAAGATTGATAGCGAGAAGAAGGTTTTGGTACCTAACAAGCAACTCCAGCCCAACAGCAACGTCCAGGGCACCTCGGATCCTGCTTCACAAGTTGCACGCCAATCCACCCTTCCTAGGAGATCCATCGTTGTCCCGATCATGGACGATATGAGAGGATATTATCCATTCGATCTATATCCGGTACCGGAGCTATACTCCTTAGGAAAAGGTATAGACCCTTTCGGCACCATGTTCCAGTCAAGAGACGCGCGCGTCAATGTCGAGGGCTTGAAGTTCCAATGCGCCAGCTTCTTCGGTACTGAGGGTCTGGGAAGATACTGGATTCCCCTATGCCTAAGCTACCCGCATGCCTTCCTGAGTACCCTTTACATGGCTTCTGCGTTCAAAGACGTCATTGAGAACAGCAGAGTAGAGAGTTTGGAGACGGCCGCACTACGCCAAGATGTTATACACTTTGTGAGCGAACATCTTACTAATAGGGAGCAATGTGTGGCGGACCACAACATTGTAGCAGTCAGCCAGCTGATACTGGGAAACGTCATTACCCGGATGGATGCAGGTTTGACCTTCCACCAGAATGGAATCGAGACTATGATCAGACAGCGCGGTGGGCTCAGCAAGCTGGGTGTACATGGACAATTGGCATCCGCAGTCTCTTGGGCCAACCTTGCGATTGCCGTTTTGCGGGAAAAGGAACCTACTCAGATGTATGTCGAGTACTGTGCTAGCCACTCGGCAAAGAAATACGCTCTGGATATTGCGATACCGGAGTCACCACTATATCGGCCTCATGGCAGATACGTAACGCTCAAGAATTCGACCAAATGTACATCGAGAGCACAAAAGCTCTTAGCGATGATAGAGCTATTTCTTGAAAGCCAGCGCTCGAGTCGCCAGAGTAACGCTTCCAAGCTGAGAAATTTCTACAACTCCATCAATCAGTACCCACCTGGTTCAAAGGGGGATGGTTGGAGATACGAAGCGATACGCCTCACCGCTCGCGTCCAAGCTCAAGCTATCATTGACCAAGTCCCGTTGTCAGAGGCACTCAAAAGGGTGCAATCGTCTGAGATGCGGTCGGCCATGTACAGCTCCTCGATAGCCTCACGTTCCAATGATTCCATCTCTTCAACACTTGAATTTCAACAAGTGACTCCGGTTACTGAAAATTCCGAGAGTCCTACCTTTGCCCCGTACAATGGAATACACCTTCATCAACAAGTCGGCTTTCCTTTCAACCACCGGGATTCAACCTCCTCGACACATTCGCAACGTCCTTCGCCTTTGTCGATGCAATCGAGTTCATCAGCGATATCTCCTCAATTATGGATCTCCGCATCCAGATCCGGTAGACCTACCATACTCCAACAGCTTCGAGACGCCCTCGAAAAATCCGATCTTTCAGAGTGCTGGTCCGACATGGCTGGTGTGCTGCTATGGATTGGACTAGTCGTGGGAGCAGCAAGTAACGAAAACGAGGACAAGGTCTTAGCAAGATACTTTTCTGCGACAACCATGAGAGCATGTATCATGCTTTGCTTCGAGCATCCGGAAGCAGTACATTCTACCATGCTGAAAATGACCGACATCGTTGGAGCGTTGGACAAGAAGCCTGTTGATGCACAACTGGCTAGGAAAGACAGCGCTATTTCAAGAAAGCGAGCGAAGGCATGAAGAGCTGTGAAAAGAACAGTTCAGAAAAAGTCGACGTTGCGATAAGCTTTCTCCACAGTGGCGATGTCTTTCGGCGAAGCCGATTGATCCACTTGGATACGATATCCGTGCACATATAGGGCTGCAAGGCTTAGACTGCAAGGCTTAGGCTGTAGGCTGACATGAAGCTGCCCATGACTTTCTCATCTCAAAATCTTCAGCGACTGCTAGGGCGTCAGGTTCTCTGTTTGATCATATGTACATACTTCTGCCTTCACTATACCATAGCATTCCAGGTTCGAGCACCGGCGTTGGGGTGTTAGGCGTTCGTCATCTTCGCAAAGGCGAATCTTCGGAGCTCTATGCCAAATGAAGACATTGTCATCGATTACCACACATCACTGTGATTATCCAGCATTGTACGAGAGTCTTTTGTAGTTCCATGACTTGAACGCGTCCTATTATGGCTTCGTAAGAGCCCGAACCCTGATCTATGTGTGTTCATGCCTTCATTCCTCGTTTCTGCATTCAGACTGGTATACACATCCTGTCTTCGTAGCTATGCCAGACAGGGGGACCCTAACCCTTAGTAACCTTCTTGACGGTGCCATCTTCATCAACATGGACATTCAACCTCTCGGGCTGGAAGTCCATGGTTTGCATCGAGTCGGGCTTGAGAACGCGGTGTTGTTGGGGAAGATCGGTCTTCGCGAAGGTCTGATTGTAATAAGTCAGCGCTGACATTTAGACTGAGTAGGACGTAGTGCAATCTTGGACTACGTAATGTGGGAGAGGAAGAGCAGAGGAGGGAAGAGGCGGACGTACCATCTCATCATGCTGGTCACCAAGCTTCTTGCCCATGAGCTTGCTCATCCAGTCATCACCAGAGTTTCCGTCCTTTGACTGCAGACCGGGGACTACGAGAGGCATGTTGTGTAATGTTGTTGAGATGGTGTAGTGTTTGTGTATGTTTTTGACCGCGCGTAGTTTCAAAAGGCGTGTTATCGTGAAGGTCAGTCGTGTCTAGATGGTTTAGTTACTCGAGAAGATAGCGGGGTAAGGGGGGACGCGGTACTTATACAAGTAGACCCTGGCTGACACTTGTGTGAACTAACTTGTTTGTTTGAGCTTTGCGTGTCACCAGGCTGCAAGATGGGTTATGGTGGTGCTTGGATAGGAAGGCTGACGTCATCCGTGTCTAGCCGCGTAAGTGGGGTTGTGTAATGTTTCTAGAGCGCGGGATTGGCATGTGTCGGCCTGCTATGGCTTCGGTGTCTTATCTTCCACTAATTGGAGGTTGTGTAAGCGTGCGAAAGTAGAGATCATGGAGAAGTATCATCGATGTTTACGTGTCTCATCACTGATGCAAGGCGATATGCAAAGTCTGACATAAGGGATGATGCGAGATTGACAGAGCCTCAGCAGAACTTCCCTAAGAGGTGAAGGAAGATACGCATATTCCCAAGACTGTAGGGCAATGGAGGATGCGATTTGACCCTGCCTTGCTGATGTAGCAGAAGCGGATATAGGATACGTGGTCTATTTCTCAGTTTCCTGTTCCGCTCTAGCGTGCTCGAAGTGATTCAAAGACTACGCTGACTGACCACAAACCAGTTCTAGTTTATTTGCCGTCGCGCATGTTGCGGAAGAAATCCATGACACCGGTGAAGACAACCAAGAGGATACCACCTCCGGGACCCAGTCTCAGCACCTTGGGCAAGAAACCCTTGTAAAGCGCACCAAAACCTTCCTCCTTCATGACCGTACCAAGAGCCGGCCATGCCCAGTTGTATTTGGGTACAGATCCCGCGACCTTGGGCGAGTTCTGGATGCGCGACTTGACAACGTCCATAGGGGTGTTGAGAATGGTACCGACAGTGCCACCGATAGCACCAGACATGAGGTCGTTGGTGATCTGGCCCTTCTTGGTAGTTGCTGCGGGCAAGAGCGCGCGGACCTGGAAGATGCAGCCAAAGTAGCCAGCGTTCCACAGAATGTGCCTCCACATGGTCGACTCAAGACCTTGGTAGAGGGTGAGAGGACCTTCCTGCTTGACAATCTTTGTGACACAGTCCACCATGCCGTTGTACTTGTGGGCTTGCGCCTTGTCTTGTAACCGGATCTTGACGAGCTCGAAGGGGACGACGACAAAGGCTTCGGTGGCACCTGCGGTTGCGCCAGTGAGGATAGAGAGGGACTGGTTCATCTTGGACTGGCCGAACAGGTTGCGGTAGAAGGAGCCCCATGAGTCATTGGCTGCGAACTTGGTGGCCCTGTGTCGCGTGAGACGAGTCCTTTTACACACTGGACAGGCAAGTAGGGGAGTATGCGTACCTCTTGGGGGCTTCCATAAGGATAGGCGCGGTGATACCGCGGTACAATCTCGAAGCACTGCCAGACGTCAGCCCCTCTTGCTCATGATCGCAAGAGTGTCATAGCGCGTACCCCTCATTCTTGATGATCTTCCTGAAGCAGTCTACCATGCCATTGTAGCTATCTTCTCCTACAGACTTGCTGGTCTGAAGCTGTCTGCGAATATTTAGACGCGATTTAGGATTGGTCCTGTGTGTGGTTGCTTACACTCGGGTCTTGACGACGTCCAGCGGGTACCTTGAGATGATGTTAGCGTCTCGAGCTTGATGTCTGCATGTTGGAAGATGCCTACATGAGCAGAATCTACACACATGACTGCATCAGCACTGGCAGTCTCACGCGAGCATCTTCACGAATGCGCACTCACTTCTGACACACCAGCCACGGCACCTGTACATGGTTAGCGCCAATTCGGAATCCTGAAGCTCAGTCCGGTCGCAGAGCTGCTCTGCTGTAAATTTGAGCGACGGAAATCCCTCGGATAGCCGTCGCATCGGAGCTGGGCGGTTTTAAGACAATTGGAACCTACCGGCCGCGAACTGGTAGACGAAAGGCAATGGCTTCGCATCGGCAGCAGACATGTTGGCGGTAGTGCTGTTAGGGAGGGGAGGGACTGAGGGGGAGTGAAAAGACAAGAAGGCTGCCGTTGAGTGAGCGTTTCCCGGTCGGCGCACACAATCTGGGGAAAGAGCCCAAGAGCGTGGGATGAATGTCCAAACTCCGCTTAGGCTTGGCCCTAGCTTCCCGTCTTCGGTTGACGCATTTTCGATTGGCGCAAAAGCACCCTGACGTGATCATAGTTTGATACGCGGAGCCGCCTTTGATGTGCCAAGTAATGTCAATTCAGTGACTGTACTGATTAGGCGAGCAGTTGTTACATGCAGATTTTCTATTGTTCAAGATAGCGTCTAGTCTGTTTGTGATGATGCAGCAAAAGCCCATCGTATTGCATTTGCTAAAGCCGATGCAAAATTGGGTTCAAAGTAGACGCAGGTCCCATCCGTGCTCGGAGCTATGTCGCGCGTCGCGGCGAGATGGCCGGTCTATCGCCACGTGATGACGAGCCCTCGCCTCGCTCATGGTGATTGGCCACTCACGACGCGTCTTCGCGTTCAACCCATTCCAGACGCTTACGCTACCTACCATCTCCATGTCCACGCGACAGAAGTCCTTCTTTGATCAGAACCAGAAGCCAAAGGTACTTGAACAACTGACTGTATGCACTGTCGCCACGTCACATACTCATCTCTCGTCTTCGTAGCACTATAAGGGCCAATGGAACCGCTCGCGCAACTTCCCCCACCAGAACAGTAATCAGGCAGCGCCGCAGGCTCGGCAAGTAGTAACGGGGCCTCCAATTATGCCTTCGACCCAGACTCGCACCAAGCTCAAAGCCTTCGCCTTCGCCGAGGGCACGCCTACTGCGGATTCTCTGCTCAAACGACGCGACGCTGAGAAGGAGAACCGACCCGCCCCGCTAGCAAAGACGCCGAAGCCTATGGGTACACCAAAGGCGAACAGAGTTGTGAAAGATGTAGCTGCCCCGAACAAAACTCCCAAACTCCCCACCGTCTCAGATTGTCCGCCACCGTCAACACCTGCCACAATGAGGCTGCCGCTTGCCGACTTGGTAGGGAATGTCGACGATTCCTCGAGACACGTGCCCCAACCTGTTGCCTCACCCGAAGAGCAATTGATATGGAGAGGATCACAAGCAATAAATACACCGTTCCCCCGCAAGAACAAGAAGCGCGCCAGGAGTTCGTCACCCGTTGCACCATCGCAAGAGGAATACAGGCTGGACGCGACCAGACAGGACATCACAACCCCTCAGGCTGACCCTGCTATGGAGCTATGGTCGCGATACACCAACAATAAAGGAACTCCAAGCGCCAACAAGAGTGTGGCATTCGCGCACCTTATCAACGAGTCATCCCCAAGATCGCAAGCTGCTGCTGGAAGCATCAGTGGACTGCGGAGGTGGGCAAGCTGTGGCGTCGAGTTCCCAGCGTCGCATCGGAAAAGAAGAAGAACGCACGGCGTGTTTCAACCGGATAAAGAGAGTACAGAAGACGTCTTCGCCGGTGCTTCCAGTTCAGACGGCATGATGCTCGCGCAACCAACGAAACCAAATCTTGCGAGTATGGTGCAGCGCATGCGAGAGTGCGTCTCCAAATCACAAACGCGCGTCTCGTCGTCAATGCCAGCAAGTTCTTCACCATTGCTTGGGGCTGGGGATCGTCAAGACCCGTCGTCGGGCTCCCCTCTCCAGCGGCGCGCACGAGAACGGCATGCGGATAGTTCTGAGACACTACAACACGATGCAGCACTTCTACGCGACACACTGGATATCGATGATGACCCCGTACAAGCAAAGGAACAAGTCGATGTGGTACAGAAGCCACAGGCATCCCAAGAATCATCCGACGATTTTGGAGACGACTTCGATGCGGACATGGTAGATTCCCTGAACATAACGCCTCAACCTACACCTGCCAATCCGCTTCCACAGAAACACCCTGCGCCTACTCCAACTTTACAACAAGGCAGTGATGATGACGAGTTCGGAATGGACGATGAGGACGAATTCGCGGCCGATCTAGAACAGGTAGCATCGCTGTACGACACAAGGTCTGTGGAAACTCAAAGGGGAGATCAGGCACCCACAGGACAATCGAGACAACCTCGAGCTACTGCAAGTGAGACGCCAGCACCTATCATCAGCCTCTTGGATGACGATGACGATGATGAGGATGAATTTGGGGAAGACATAGACGCCGACGAGTTCGCTGCCGCTGAGGTTGCAGCCACACAAGTACCTGCCAATACTGTAAGTAGAATGCAAGTCCACCTGTACTCATCAGCCGTGCTAACTCTCGAAGAGTCAACAGGACAATAGAGCCATCCAACGCTATCTCATCAAACGAGTGGATGAAAACTCGTATACCACTGACCGTGGCTATTCGATGCCTGAAAAGGCAAGTGGGTGTTGCTAAAGTCGCTGTGACACTACAGCTAACATGACGTAGGTTTTGCTAGTCGAAGAAGAGAAGACGAAACTGTTCAAAGCGATCACTCTACGACAGGCTTGGTTCGACACTCCCTGTACGACAGGCTCGTTTGTGCATGTCATTGGTGATTTTACCAGTACCGGACAATGCATCATCGACGATCACCATAATATGCTCATACTGCACCCGGATCATCTCATCTCGTCTACTGTTGTCGCAGACTCTTTTGGTTGTTTAAGGCGAGCGGTGCTTCAGGATCGTGTCAAAGCCACCAGCAGGGCCAACGCTCCCATGCTTCACGGGACATTACTGCACGAACTATTCCAGGAGGCCATGAAAGTGAACCAATGGGACTCCGTGTTTCTATTCGAGACTATCGAAAAGCTCATGCCGAGCCACCTGGAAACCATACTAGAGATCAACTCGACCTGCGAAGCTGTCAAAGAACATCTTAGTAGCAAGCTGCCCGAGTTACAGGCTTGGGCCAAAATCTTCGTTCGCGCGGACCCTCAAGCGGATGCTATCGTTCGAGAACGAAATGGACGACAGTCGACCATGAGCATTAACAAGCTACTTGACGTGGAAGAGCACGTCTGGTCTCCAATGTATGGTCTGAAAGGCAATATCGATGCCACTGTACAAGTGACAATGCGAGATGACCAAGGCGAACGGACATTGACGGTGCCATTCGAGGTCAAAACTGGCAAGAACTCCTCAAATGCTGCACACATCGCACAGATTGCCTTGTATAACTTGTTGTTGTCTGATCGATATGGTATGTCCCTCACAACCACATGCATTCCTAGCTGACGTTTATAGATGTTGATATTGCTTACGGTATCCTCTATTATCTGGAGACTTCGGAGATTAGTCGGATTCCTGCTATCCGCAATGACATCATCCATATGATCATTAAGCGCAACGAGCTGGCCTGTTTCGTCCGAGACCGCATCGAGCTGCCTCCAATCTTGAAAGAGGACTTCAAGTGTCAGAAGTGCTACGCGCAAGAGCCTTGCTTCTTATATCATAATCTTGTCGAAGATGGGAAGGGCGAGATGTTGAACAAGAAGGCGAAAGAGAAATATGACGACCTCGTCAAGCCGCTTCAGCCTTCCCATCAGGAGTTTATGAAAAGGTGGGACACTCTGTTAACGAAAGAGGAGACGGATATGATGAAGTTCAGACGAGAGTTGTGGACCATGTTGAGTACAGAACGTGAAAAGCTGGGTCGCTGCTTCTCAAACGTCATTCTGGAACCGGGGTCCGGACATGAGGACAAGACTGGCCAAAAGATTAACCGCTACAACTACACGTTCATAAAAAAACAGCCAACTCCTGGCTTCTCCTTCACTGAATCTCAGCTCACCATCGGAGAGCCTGTTGTAGTGTCGGATGAGCAAGGTCATTTCGCGTTGGCCAATGGCTATGTAACGAACGTTAAAAAACGTCGCATCACAGTGGCTGTTGATAGACGCCTGCACAATTCCCGAACCAAGTTGCCGGGATTCCATTCACAAAACAATCAAACATTTGCCGGTATCATGGAAGTGGCCAAGGTGGGCGAGACAATCTCTGAATACGAAGCTGATGAGGAGCCGGTATTGTACCGCCTAGACAAAGATGAGTTCAGCAACGGCATGGCTGCAGCTCGCAACAATTTGATCCAGATCATGGACAACAGCGTCTACAAGGCTCATGACCTCCGTGCGCTGATCGTGGATGGGCGGGCTCCTGCATTCAGGCCTATGACCGATGCGATCTCACTGCCCCAATCGTCACAGATGTCTATGAACTCTGATCAGCGTGCTGCAGTCGCAAAAGTCATGTCCGCAAAAGATTACGCTCTTGTGTTGGGTATGCCAGGGACTGGCAAAACCACTACCATCGCGCACATCATTCGTACATTGGTTGCGAAGGGCAAGAGCGTTCTGCTTACTTCGTATACCCACACTGCCGTCGACAATATCCTCCTCAAGATTCGGGATGACCGCATTGGCATATTGCGCCTCGGCGCTGCCAAAAAGATTCATCCTGAGGTCAGAGAATTTGCTACTCTTGCTGCTGAATCAAAAGACAGTCTCGAAGAGCTCGAACGATCGTGGATGCAGCCGCCTGTCGTGGCTACAACGTGTCTCACCATCAATCACCCCCTGTTCAGCCGCCGCGTCTTCGACTACTGTATTGTCGATGAAGCATCTCAAATTACCCTCCCTGTTTGTTTGGGACCTATCCGCATGGCTCAGAAGTTCATCTTAGTAGGCGACCACTACCAGCTGCCTCCGCTGGTGCAGAACAAAGAAGCCATGGATGGCGGACTGGATGTTTCATTGTTCAAGCTCCTTTGTGAGGCTCATCCACAGGCCGTCGTCAGTTTGGAGCATCAATACCGGATGTGTGCCGACGTTATGTTGTTGTCAAACATGTTCATCTACTCAGGACGGCTTAAATGTGGCACGACCACTGTCGCTTCACGCAAGCTGACACTTCCCAAACCCGAAGGTCTCAATGCCTACCACCACAAGCCATATCAATCGCGATACAATGCGGCACAGGCATGCCCTGGTCCTGATGCTGCAGACTGTTGGCTTTCTCGTTCGTTGTCACCAAATCGCCCAGTCATCTTTATCAACACTGATCTCATTTCTTCGACTCTCGAAACGCAATCTGGATCACGCATCACTAATACTCTTGAAGCGCGGTTAGTCACGCAGCTTACAGTGTCTCTTCTCAGCCTTGGTGTCCCTGCTGGGGAGATTGGCATAATTGCTTTCTATCGTTCACAGCTCGCCTTGCTTCGACAAAGCCTGTCATCCGCATACACCCAAACGCAGTCGTCCGAACTTGCTGCTCCCGCCATAAACGGACAAGGGTGCTCAGGAGTCGAGCTACATACTGCAGACAAGTTTCAGGGCCGCGATAAGGAAGTCGTCGTCGTATCTAGCGTACGAAGCAACGAGAATGGCACAGTTGGTGATCTCTTGAAGGACCGCAGACGTGTCAACGTCGCTTTGACCCGCGCGAGATCGAAACTTATCATTCTCGGTAGCGAAAAAACGTTATCGAGCAATGAACTGTTGCGCGATATGGTTGCCCTCTGCCGAGAGAAAGACTGGGTAGTCGATCTCCAGCCCAGCATGGTGGAGTCGCATGCCTTTGAAGAAAGTGTTACACAAACGGGCAAAACACCAGTGAAGCAGCCATGCTCTTCTTCGCTTTCTAACGACGTCACGAAGAGTCCTAGTCTAACACCTAGTCCGTCCAAGAAACGCAAGGTACTGGGCGATCTTACAGCAAAACCGGAAAAGGTCAACGCCAGAAGTCCTAAGAGAAGCAACGATAACAAGAGTCCAAGTGGTAGTCCCGAGGTAAAGAGAGTGCCAGGGAAGGTTTTCACAGCAGGCAAACGGGGCATATTGGATCGCAGACCAATTCTGAGGGACATTTACAATGGTGCTATTTGAGAGCTAGGCATATATGGTCTCTTGCAAGGAGTTTTACCAGAGAGTACTCCGACCCTATTGATTCACGAAGGGTTGGGATGACCGGGGTTTTATTTAGGATACCAGTGCTATTGGATATCGATGTAGTATGACAGTAACTGCAACAGCGGAAGGGTACCCTATCAATGAGCAATAATTTCACGCAGCTTGATGCCTCACCCACTGCTCCACAGCAGAAGCGTGACCAACGAGCATGTGATCTGTTCGTAACCATGTTCTGCTCGGTGCAATTACGCGATGCTCAGGGCCTTAATGTGCCGTCACAGCTGCTGCACCACACGACTGCGCCTTCCCGCCACCACAGACCATAGCTTCTCTAAGATCAGAATCAAGCTTTTGCTCTAATGTCCATCAATCGGATGTTTTGCATTAGCGTTACTCGACCAAGTCACAAATTATCGCTACGCATTGAAAGATTATGGATATTACGAGGACAAGCAGTCTCCTATCGCAAATTCTCCTCCGCATTCCATGGCGTGACCTTTGCTTGCGCGGCGCAGATATCGTTTTAAGTGATGCATAAATCTCCATTCTTCTATCATACTTCGTCAAGACCTTCAGGACCACAGGTCGGATCACGAGTCTGCTATGCGTCTCAACCTGTATTCCCATCAGTGATTACTGCTTTTGTTTCCTCATCATCAGACACTTCTTCAAGGGCTTGGGTGACGAGCAATCCGCTGAGCCGTGTCTGCAACAGATGACCTTAACAAGGCAGCTCGAGGATGGGGAGATTTCGTTCGATCTACGTCAGGTTTATCTCATGAAGCTATGCTAACATCCCCAGCTAGTCGCTCTTCGTTCACCTTGTCATTATTGTTGCACGTCAGCGCAGAGTATATGAGGAGAATCCTACTGCGACAGATCTGAGCGCCTTCCCTCCAATTTGGGCCTTTCTTATGTCGAAGTCAAAGTGGAAATGACTAGTATAGTTCTTTACATGGTGAGAGAAAGTAAACCGCATGGCTGTGGATCGTAGAGGCTACAGTGGCATCGCAACTGTGCTACATAGATCCCTCCTATGACAGACTTACAGCAGCATGATGTGCTGGCCATTCAATCAACTTACGAGACGCTGATCCCAACGCTACCGCGACAGCCCTTACAAAGTTTGTACCCAAGCCCTCAAGCCACCATACCGAGTTTGTCCTGATAAGCAATACGGCAAAATGCGCTAGAATGACCAGCGCATCGCGGTCTTGGGCTTCGACGAGCTGAATGTATTCACGAGGAACACGCGTGACCCACGAGAACAGCGCACCGCGATCGAGTAGAACTTCGGTTCCATGACAAGCTTTGGAAGCTCCTAGCTGAAGGAGTTGTGAGTTGAGAGCGTATGTTTCGCGAAGTTGATCCAAGGCTTGGCTAAGGTACTGCGAATGGGGACCATACTGCCGGTCTGTTTGAAGCCACAAATCCTTGATACGTTGTAACCTTTTATCTTCATCGCGGGCAAGAGGTGATGCTGGCTTGCGCACCTTTGGCCATCCTTTCCTTGATGCCACGGGTTGTATACTGCTGTCAGCTATCCAGGTCCAACCTTTCATAAGAACCTCTAGTGGTCCCCTAAGTCCCCACATTGTTCTGACGATACAAGATATCATTTTGCCAGCCATCTCAGATGTATGAGCAGCACTCAGAGGGAAGGCGGCTTCTAAGTCTTCAAAATCTAGGACCGAGGTTCGGACAAAGTAAACGGCAGTCAACGCTGAGCTTGCAAACACAGCAGCGACATTCTTTCGAGTGACTTTCTCAATCGCGTGACGATAGCCCGCAAGCGCTTGGTTCATTTGAGAAGCGGCTATAGCGTTCCAGTGATTGAACTGCTTGGGCTGTTCTTCAGGTCCGGAAAGATATGCAATGTGTAGCGACGTGACTGAGAGGACGCAATGCGTGAGGAAGTTATAGCCCGCAGCAATTTGAGGGATGCCAAGCTGCCAGACAGCTGTCTCTCGGCCACCGTTTTCGATTGTAAGACTAGTGGTGCGTGTGTAATGGGAAAGTACGTTTTGTAGTGAGAAAGGGGATGCTCCTTGGCTGAATTTCCGTGGGTCTTGAAGTTGGGCGTGTAGTGGGAGGGAATCTCGCTCATCTGGAGAGCTGGTGTCATGTCGTAGAGGTACTGTAACGGTGCAATGCTCACTATCTGCCGAACAACGATCCTCAATTGATGATGCAGATGGCGTGTCTGGTGAGCTGGAACATGGACCTGCGAATGTAATTTTCAAATGTTTGGGAGGCGCAGTCTGGAGGAAACTACACGTCTCCCCTTTCTTCACACATGTTCCGCAAGAAGGATGCTTGAAGTCGCACTGTGTTCTGTGTCAGTAACAATCGTATATGTAAAGTGCAGGTGCCCATTTCAACAGGCGACATCAGAAAATGCCGAAGGTGCGACTTGGTACGCATGTCGCGTCCAGAATCAGGTATAGGCTCTGAGATATCGCACAAGACCCGAGGTATGTCTTGAAGGGATGGCTACCTTTATTCGCCTCTTCTTACATTGCTGACATCCGAATCTGGACTTTGTATGCGCTCGTCGTATGCGGTTTGGCATCAGGCCCTCAAGACACACTGCTGGCGCAAGATCGAGCGGGTGAGATGATCGGATGCATCCAGCAACGACCGGATAAGACGCGAGATAAGATCGACGGCGGCACTACGGTGTCGATGGGCTAGGAATAAAGTATGAAGGGTTCACGCAAGCAGATGATGGAGGTGTCTGTTCATGAGGCTTGTGTGGTAGTGGGTTCGTATGTACATCGAGCACATCCGCGTCGCCATGAGGAAGCTAACATTAAACGTCACGTCTCAAGATGTTTCCAGCATCATCGCAGCGGGTCGCCTCGTAAAGTCGTGTCAGCAGAGGCTGAGCCCGCGAGATCGGACGAAATCGTGCTGCTCATCGCAGAGTCAGGGGGTAGTCTGTGCGCGACTGGGATGGGCAGTAATTATCAACCAATGAGCAGATTGTAAATACGCAACATTGACCTATGCCGGATCTTCCGGCGGCGTATATAGTGATGTTATTCCCGTATTTCACAAACTGCAAATGGTTCTTTTCGCTTCTCAGTCTGCGTTCAATGCGGGATCAAGATGTCTCAAAGTATCAAGGACCCCGATGCGGTATATTCTTACCTCTTGGTACGAGCGCAAGGTTGCTGTCCAATACGGCAACACAGTAAACGAGAGCAATCCTTATATATGATGAGCACTCGCACAGGACTGTCAATCTCGATGTCTCGCATTCCAAGAATCTGTCTCTGCTGCAATACTCTCTAATTCCAACAATCGTCTGCCGAAACATTCTATCTCGTTACAGTACAGCTCCAGGGGCGTTCACTGCACCGTCTATTCGGACTCGCTTCAAACCCTTCAAGTATGAGCGAAGGAAAAGGGTACGAGGAATACGTCTTTTATCGTTACACGCCAACACTCGCGGGTGTAGTGATCTTCGTACTCCTATTTGAGTGCACGACTATCTATCATGCGTGGCAAACCTGTCGCAAGCGATCGTGGTTCATGGTCCCAATCATCATCGGCGGAATCTTTGAAACCATTGGGTATATCGGGCGCGCGCTGTCGCATAACGATCGAGAAGCTCTTGGTCCCTACGTCATACAAACTCTACTTCTCCTTCTCGGACCCGCCCTTTTCGCCGCAAGCATCTACATGATCTTAGGTCGCATTATCCTGCTAACGGATGGAGAACGATACTCGCTAATACGACGTACATGGCTTACGAAGATCTTCGTCGGTGGCGATGTCCTCTCATTCCTCACCCAATCTGGGGGCGGCGGTATCATGAGTGGTGCAGACGAGGACAACCCTGACAATATGAAGATTGGGGAGAAGGTGATCATCGTGGGTCTCTGTATCCAGGTCATCTTCTTCGGTTTCTTTGTCCTCACGGCTTTTGTGTTCCAAAAGCGCGGACGCGAACACCTCCTGGCATTGGAGGGCTGGGTGCTATGGAGGAAGCACTTATACGTGCTTTACGGCACATCGGTCTTAATCTTAGTCAGATCTGTCTTCCGAGTGGCTGAATATGCACAGGGTAACGACGGGTACCTACTACGACATGAGGCGTTTCTCTACGTATTCGATGCAGTGCTGATGTTTATTGTCATGGTGTGGCTAAACTTTATTCACCCCGGAGAAATCGCCGAGGTCTTGGAGGAAAAGAAGAAGGCTGAGAGTATAGAGAGGCAGCACGATATGGATCTTCTTGGTCACAATGACTGTCCAAACGTCTAGAATTGGGGGGACCCAGCTGGTTTCATATCCCCAGGATAGCTGACTTTGGTAATGGAAAGCGAAGACTGTAATTTGTAGTCGCTAGTTGAGGGAGGACATTGCTATAGCGGCAACAGTCGGCGCTACTATAGAGCGCCTCGAACATGCCGAGATCTGATATCTCGCCCATGAATTTGGCGTGGCTAAATTGAGAACAACATGATACAGTGTCCTATATAATTTTACAGTTTTTACACCAAAGCTGAATATCGATGTATGAATTGTTTACTCAATTGTAGAAGTGTTGTGGTGACTAGCGAGTATCTAGTGCTAAGAAATATTTCTTGAGGGTCTTCGAGCAGTATGTCCTATTTCCAGGACTGGAAGATGGACTGCGCTGAAGGGGCATAAACCGCTGCGGATTCACTCCTACGCCATGCTTGTGCGACGAAAATTGTAAGACGGACCGAACGCTCGGAGCACAATGCCATATGGATGGCAAACTGGCTACTGACCAATGGGACCATCCCGTAAACGGGTCATCCGTGTGCAGATAACCGTACCATGGTCAACACATTACAAGCAAGGCGTACATCGTATACACCGTACTCAAAGCACTCCGGCTCGAGCCGTGAAACGCAACGTCTTGAAGAAGACCGCTGTGACATACCCAATGAGAAAGTCTATATAAGTACGCAGGTAGTCTTTGCTTTTACAGTATGTTCACTGTACCACTTCATCATCAACAGGTTCGGTACATTCATATCATCTTCCTTCTTATTAACTACCACGTCACTACGCCGACTGAGAATTTCATCAGGCGAGATGGCACTTCAAGGACAATTCTTCTTCTCATACAAACCCTCAGTTGCAGCAGTCGTGATAGCAGCCCTCGTCTTCAGTGCGATAACAGCAATACACGTATATCGATTCGTGAAAAATCATAAGACAAAGCGCATCAGGCTACTACTTGTGCTCTCCATGGCGTCATTCAGTAAGCATTGAGGATGCTCACGTCATACTTAGACTCAGACTGATCAAATCACTCATCAGATGAAGTGTTGGGCTACGCGCTACGCATCCCAGGAAGCAGGAGTAGTCGTACCGGTGCTATTCATGCATTGAGTCCACTTCTCTTAATCTTTACACCCCTGATGGTGACCTCAGTCATATACTACATTTTCTCCAAGATCTCCACAGCTGTCGCACCACATTGTGTTCCGCTTAAGTCTTCTTTGATGCTCAAGATCTTGAGCGGAGTAGATCTCGTATGCCAGCTTGCAATTTCAGCAGGTGTTATGGTAGCGGCTCGAGCGAACTCCAGCGCTGGTAAAGGAGTCTTGTTGGCTGCAATTGCTATACACGTCAGCAATGCTATGGGCTTTGTGGTTGCTGTTGTTATCTGGCAGCGCCGAGTGGGTGGGAAATGGATCGGAGGTCTAGATCACCTGTCCATCTCCACGCAACGAGATGTGCTGGCAATTTACATTGCAACGGGTCTCATTATGCTACGCAGCTTATTACGCTTCATCGAGTTCGCATGCGGTCCTGTAAGCTCTAATTTCGTGAGATATTACTGGTCTGTAAGCTGACGCTGATAGAATGGACCATTTCAGGACCACGAGGCTCCATTCTATATCTACGACTTTCTTCCTATGGCGGTCGTATTGATTACATGCATCCAATGGTATGACAGTGACAACATTCCAGCTTCGTATCGCTCAAGGAATTGGGAATTAGAAGAAGTAGGTGTGCAAGATGCGTGACTTTCGTTGTTAGAAAAGAGATGGCAAGAGACTGTCAAAGGGTGCTAGCTTAGGCGTCCGGACTATGAGTGACTAGTCCTGATATTGGTTTTCTGCGCAGTCCCTGCCCTTGTGGTTTTGTCTCTCATGAAAAACGAGTGCTTTTGTCAGTCTTCGTAGCAGCGAATGAGTTCTCCACTTGCGCGAAGCTTACGCGAGATGTTCGAAAGCGATACTATGTTCCACCACGCTACGATAACCCACGAAAGCAGTACATACGACTCTATATCTAGTTCTTGCGAAAGCTGACGCTCAGTTATATGAGAAGTATCAGAATGTTCAAGAATCCGTTTTTTGGCCATGTGGAGGAGAGTATACCGTCAGCGGCCACACTGTTGTTCCGGTCTAAGCCGTTCATGAGGTCGAGCTTACCGCCCTGCTGGATACTCAGGAGGCAAATGATGTGGAAAGTACTAGCAGGCAATGCGAGGGCGTCTATTGATGAGGTCTCATGTCTGCGCGTGCATGGCAGTTGGTGTCGAAAGTCTTTTCACACATGTACTGACGTGCAGGGATAGCAAAACATGACGCAAAGCATCGAGAATCAGCTGAGTTCAAGGCGCCTAGTCTGAGCTATAGCAACGCATCTTTGCGGTAGCGGGCAGCTGTATGCAAACTGGGCTCCAGCAGGGTGAGGAGGGACAGGCGTTCTGGCGGATGTGCCGTGCGTTTGCGCTGCCGCACCCACCGTTCCGTCGGCGCATCGAAGCGCTGCAGATATGAGACATGATCCTCTTGAGATTCAGCCTTGTAGTAAGATTTAAATGGGGATGATCGTTCTCCGATGCCTGCAGTCATTCTGGGACTATACACAACAGTCCAGGAGGGATATTATTAGAATACAACACGATTGAAAACATTGCTAGCATTCTACAGGCCCAAAGGGTATTATTCTACAGTGACCATGCGCTAGACAAACACAGTCGCTAGTTCAATACCCTACTAAAATTAACACTCTAACTCTAACGCGTTATAACTTAATTAATATAGATCTAATTTAGAAATTAATTATAAAAATTAAATTATATAATTTAAAAAGCTAATAAGTTACTAAAAGATATAGTGTTAACTATATTACGCTAATAAGATAGCATAAATATAAAACTAAGAAGTATAGTATATATAATTAACTCTTCTACTTAAAACTTATAGTAAAGCTTATATAGTATATTAATATACTTACTAAATAATATTTACTATCTTTAAAAAATAATATAGTAGTTTACTATTTACTTAGCTTATAAACTAGTCTCTAAAAGCCTAGTTATAATTTAGAGGTAAAGTATAGCTTCTATTTTAAGCTTTTAAATAAAAAGATAAAAGAGTATTATATATAACTTATTTATATTTTTAATATAAATATAAAAGAGTTATAATTTAGCTAACTTAGTATTATAAGTTATATATTTAGTAAAAGACTATATAAATAAAAAGAAGTAAAGTAAATATTTAAAAATAGCTTAACTAAGTAAATTATAGTTATAGCTTATATTTATATAAATAGGAGTACTTTAAGTCTAATACTTATTTTTTAATAAGCTAATAAAGCTATTTAATTAAGCTTAGTTAAAGCTATATAAGTAAAAAACTACTTAATCTTTATAACTTTCTTTCTCTTTAGCTAAAGTAATAATACTATTAAGTTAGCTTAGCTTAAGACTTTATTTTAATTATAAACTAAATAATATACTTTAACTAAGTATTAATTTCTATATAATAGGCAGGTGCCTAGAGATAAAAAGCTTTAGCTAAGTAGCTTTAGAACTAGCGCAGCTATCTAAATATATCTAGAATTTTAATAGAACTTAGCTAAAGTTATAGAGTACTAAGATAAACCTTTAAACTCTATCTAGGAAGGTATTAGAGTTTAATTAGAGCTTAGCTAAAGTACTAGTTACTATCTAGAACTCGCCTAGAATTTAAATCTACTATATATATATATCTATCTTATCTTAAGATAGCTTTAATAGTAGATTTATTTTAACTTAAAGATAAGTAGTAGGTATTACTTAATTAGCCTATTATATACTACTACTAAGAACTTATAAGTTTTATATAACTCTATTTATTTAGTACTATAATAATAATAATAATAATAATAATAATAATAATATTTTTTTTATATTACTTTTTTACTTAATTTATATACTTAAATTTTCTAAAATTTATATATTTTAACCTCTAATAATAGCTTACTTAACTTACTTAATAAAATACTTCTAAAATAACTATAAGTTAGTTAATCTAACTAAAGAAGACTTTTTTTTTTAATTTTCTTTTTAGAAGTTTCTAGAGCTTTATAATTGAAGTTTTATATTTTAAAAAGTCTTTTAAAGCTACTAAGATATAGCTAGATAATTTAAAAGCTATACTTAAAAAGTTTTTTAAAATAACTTTAAATTCTAATAGTAGCTAGTATAGTCTTTTTACAGAGAATTAGCTTAAACTTAAATTAATTATCTTCTATAAAATAAAGATATAAAGTAGAGCTAAAGTAAAAAGCTTAAATAAAGCTTATACTATATTTTAGCTTAGAATAGTATACTTAATAAAGAGATTAGAGGTTTTAAGTAACTATTAGCTATTAAATAAAAGTATAAAAAGTAGAACTATACTCTCTAGCTTAATAATAGTAAAGTTTACTATAGAAAAGCTAAATTATAGTTACTTAAAGGTATATAATATACCTATAATAATAAAGTATTATAATACTAATAACCTAAGCTTAGAAGTTTTTAAAAGCTAATTAAACTAAGATTAAAGAAATAGCTTATAAGTATAATTAAAACTTAAGGCTATAGAGCGTAAAAAAGAAAATAAAAAAAGAAAATAAAAAAAGAAGATAAAAAAGCTAAGAAGATAGCTAAGAAATATTACTAATAGCTTAAAAAATATATAAGAAAGCTTATTAAACATTCTTAAAAATATAATTAGAAGGCTTTTATACTCTATATACTAGCTATAAAGTACTAAAAGTATAGTAGTATTACTATAGTTATAGTAGAAGCTACATAAGTTATATAGGCTACTCTACTATATAGTTAATAAAACTAGATTATAATACTTTTTAAGAAAATATCTATATAAGCTAAAAGTATTATAAGCTTATATATAGTATAAATTAATATATATATATAATTTTTTATTCTTAATAGAAGCTATATAGCTTATTATCATTAATAATATTAAGTTATTAGGGTATTTAACTAGTAACTATATTTATCTAGTATATATCTACAAAAGCGTAGTTAAGGATATAGCGTTAAGATATACTATAAAATAATATAATATTATAATTATCTATAGATAAAAAAGTAACTAATATTATTACTTATATATGTTAAAATAAATTTACTCTTAGACTATAGAGTATTATAGCTTAAAAAACTACTATAGAAGAAGAGCTAAGTAGTAAACTATTACTTAGTAATAGGCGTTTAGTTTGTTCCTCTAAGCGCTTTTCTATTTTTTAAGTAAGTACTAACCTAAAATATAGTAAGTTAACTAAACGTAACTAGTAAAGTAAACTTAAGAGGAATTAATCTCTATATATTACTTCTTTATATTTTTATTTAGTAGAGTAGATTTTATTAAATAGGCTATATATTGTACTGCTTTAGTTTATACTAAAGAAAAGTATTTAATATAAATATCCTACTCTAATAGCTTATATATTATTTTTAGTATAGTAAGTAATATTTAAAATAAATAAAAGCTATATATTCTAAAGTCTATAAAAACTTCTAGTCTTACTTTTATAATAGAAAGAGACTAATCTAAATAAATATTATATAGACAACGCTATATAATAGCACTAGAGTAAAGTGTATCTCTCTATACTATAGCTTTAGTAGCTAAAGTGTATCTAGTATATAGCTACCTAAGTATTATCTACAGCCTATTTACTTTTATTATATACTATGTATATAACTTTATAACACTAGTATAGGCTAGTAGTTATCTTAAAGATAGTAGTTACTATATAATTATAAAAACTAAAGTACTTTTTATAGTAAAAATATTATCGTAATAGCTTATACTAATAAAATATTAAATCTATAATCTATAGGTTAGTAGTAGTAGAATAGTATACGTTAGTAATATATATTATATTAGTATATAAAAAGATAGTACATTATATAAAGACTAATATCTAACTTAATATATTAGAATCTTCGAAAAACGTAGCTAGAAAAGCTACTAGCCTATATAGTATAATAGCTAAAGCTAAGGTAGCTTATAAAGTACTTTACAAACCTAGTAACTTGATATAAACTATTACTATTAATATATAGCTACTATAGCGTAGTTTAAATAATATATCTACTAGTATAAGTATACTCTATATTTATTAATAATAATAACTTTATAAAAAGTGTTATTTAAGTAACTTTATTAAGTAACTTTATAAACATTCTTACTATAAGTCTTTCTAAAATTAAAGACATTAAAGTCTAAGCTAATAATATTAATTTATTAAAGAAAAGAGATTTAAATACTATTATAGAAGGTAAAAAACAAATCTTATAGCTATAACTAAGTAATAAATAAGTAAATTGTTTCTAAAAGTACTATACTTCTTATAAAATTACTACAAAGATAGTTATTTAATAGCTAGCCTATATATTATTTAGGTCTATCTCTTTTATAGTTGTTATAATAAAGTTATAAGTAATAATAGTATATAATACGTATATAGTTACGCAACTACTATAAGAAGCTATAGTAACTACTCTAATATAGTAAGAATAAGAAAGTAGTATAGCTACTACCTACTTAATAATATTAGGACATTAATTACTTTGTTAGAAGTGTTAATAAGACTTATACTTTAGGTTACTATCTTAATAGTATAGCGTTAGTACTATCTAAGGCTACTATAGAATACTTACTTAGTATATAAGTTAGTTTATAAATTAAGTCTTAAAGCTTTAGTAAATTATAATTTTAAATTATAGCAC